TAATGAAAGACTTCTTCAGAATCTTCTACAGACAAATGTCCTATGATAGACTTTCAGATTTAAAGTAGCTTTTTATACCCTACACCACAAAGTGGTCAGGGTATTAAGTCTTTGTGCATTTGTTTGTAACAGGCAAAAGGAAACGAGATAGACCCATAGTTCCTTTTGATGATCTGCATAGAATCACATTCTGAGTCGATTTATGCATGTCCGTCCCTCCGTCCGTCTGTCCATGTTTTTGTAAACAAAGTTCAGTTCGCATTTATTGCCCTATCCAGATGAAATTTTGCACAAATCATTTGTTTGACCCAAATACGAACCCTATTGAAATTGGAGATAAGCGGTAAAAATTTAGATATAGCTCCCATATATATATAGCTTCGTCCGATTTGCCGTTTATTGTGCACCAAACGTGTAATATCAGCCGGAATAGTATGGAATTTTGCACATACAACCAAATTAGGCCTGAAAATAAGTATGCCAAATTTGATCGAAATTGGTTCAGATATAGCTATAGCTCCCATATATATTGTTCATCCGATTTATTATTGTTGTCCTCCGCATCCGTAATATGCACTCTTTAATAACAATATTTGGGGAAATATATTAAATACAGCTCACAAATACTTTTGCTAAATTTTATCGAGATCGGTTCGGATTTGAATATATCTTATATTATATCTTAAATTTGATGAAGATCGGTTCAGATATAGCTATAGCTCCCATATATAATGTTCATCCGATCTGTTATATTTGTTACCTACAGCCGTAATATGCACTCCGTAACAACGATATTCAGGGAAATATATCAAATATAGCTCAGAAATACCTTTACTAAATTTCATCAAAATCGGTTCGGATTTGAATATATCTCCCATATATAACTTCGTCCGATTTACCTTTTTATTGTGCACCAAACGTCTAATATTTGCCCAAATGGGATGAAATTTGACACTTACGACCGAATTGAGTCTAGAAGCTAGTATGTCAAATTTGATGAAGATCGGTTCAGATATAGTCATAGCTCCCATATATATTGTTCATCCGATTTGTTATATTTGTTACCCACAGCCGTAATATGCACTGCGTAACAACGATATTCGAGGAAATATATCAAATATAGCTCAGAAATATATTTGCCAAATTTTATCGAGATCGGTTCCGATTTGGATATAGCTCCCATATATATCAAAAGGGGCAAAACAAGTCCGAATTTAAAAGATACGAATGTTTCGGCATATTTAGTCTTTTGAACTTTAAATTATAATTATAATCGTGGCGTGTATGATTGAATTCTCCCATAAACACTTTTAATTGTTATGCGGGGCTCTACTAAATTAGCAAAGTGGTGTAGGGTATCATAAAGTCGGCCCCTCCCGACTTTAAGACTTTCTTTACTGGTTTTATTTTTTTTTTCCAACCACAGAACCCCTGAAAACGACTAAAGCCCATAGGAATCGCTGCGAACCCATTTATGTAGCGTCTTTCTTCGAAAACCATTTAGGGTACTTCAAGCCTCTTCGACCAAAAAAAAAAAAAGAAAAGAAAACCAAGCCACACATTAAATTGTGCTGACTTTGGAATTTTTATGCAATTTTTTCCAATTTGTTCATCACGTTTTTTCTATTTTCTTTTCCTGACCTCCCAGTATGTGTGGGTAGCGGGTAGCCTACTCAATGCCCTGGCGAAAAAAGCCACTGCAGCGGAGGTCTTTCGAGTAGCTCAACGATGTTAGTTTGCTGCCACAGACGCCGTTGATGTGTATGAACTAATTATTTCTAATTGGTCTTGCCAGCTTTGGGTTTTTTTTTTTGTTGCTTTTCTTAAACTGCAATCTTGAGCAGCAGGAGGGAGAGAGAGAGCGGGGCAATGAAATGAAAATTAGTGTGGGGGTGTGCATTTCGTTCACAATTTTTTTTTTTTTGCTTTAAATCACTGGCTTGCCTTCCTGCTTCTGCTGCTGCTGTTGTTGTTGTTTTCTTGATTTAAATCCTTTTTATGCCTTGCCGTATATTTCAGCTACTTCATTTCGTGGGAGTGTAGAAAACAACTAACTCAAAAAATAACTACCGCTCACATACACATAAATAACGATGTGATGGGATGAAAAGTTTGAGGCTTAACGATCCACGTAGTGCATGGAGAGCGAATGGATAAGGACTGACAAGCATGGTCCGTAATAGTAGTTCCCACAGCAATTGAGGAAAAATTTAATACATTTTTACACCCTCCACCATACATAGTATGGAGGGTACATTAAGTTCGTCATACCATTTCTAAATCATCGAAATAATAACTTTAGACCTAAGGAAGTATATGTACAGGGTGAAATGAAAAAAACTGGAACCAAATTCAGACTGCTGTCATTTCTAAGGCACTAGTCCGACAGCTGTTAAAATTATTCCAATGACAGCTCATTATATTGTTTACAAGCGATCAATAGCATTTCTGTGAGAATTTTCCAGAAAAAAAGTTATTCGTGATTGAATTCAAGCGTGGAAGTGTGATTACTCTATATTTGACGGTAAAACCACAAGTGGCTATCGTTCGGGCACTCCAGCATTTAAATGTGAATAAATCTTTTGTGTCTCCTATCATCGCTCGTTAGCGTAATACTGGTAGCTTAACAGGGTGTCTAGGAAGTGGACGGAAGAAAACAGCAACATCGACAGAAATGGTTCGAAAAGTAAAGAAGCGACTTGATCGAAACCCGCGTCGCAGTGGCCGAAAAATGGTTCGTGAGCTGAACATATCGCAATATTCCATTCGGAAATATCGAAAAATGAGCTCGGGGTAAAGCCATTGAAATTCCAAAAAGTGAAAGAACTTACACCCCAACAGAAAGAAAATAGACTCAAAAGAGCTGAAGAATTGCTTCACTTGGCCGAAAGTGGTGAACTGCCGAATTTGGGTTTCTCCGATGAGAAAACATTCGTTGTCCAGCAGTTTTTGAACAAACAAAATGATCGTGTTTACTTGCCACAGAGATCAGCTAAAAATGTGCACCTTCCGTTGGCCACCAGAACTCAAGTACCAGTCAAGCTGATAGTGTGGGCCGCCATAACAGCTGATGGGCGCTCTCCGCTCGTGTTAATAAATAAATGCCAAATATAATTACGAAAATATTCTGGAGGGTGTATTAAAGCCTTAGGCTCTCAAACATTTTGGCCGCACACCTTGGACATTCCAACAGGACTCAGCACCATCGCCCTGCAGCACGCGCCACCCAAGAATGGTTACAAAATGAGGTTCCTCGCTTCATTTCCAGTGCACAATGGCCACCAAAATTTCCAAATGCCAATCCGTTGGATTATTGTGTCTGGAGTATTTTGGGAAACAAGGTTGGCACTAAAAAAATCCAATATATCGATCACCTCAAGCAAGCGCTTCGCCGGGAATGGGCCAAAATACCGCAGAGCAACATTCGGGCAGCGTGCGACGGTCTCATTGGCCGTTTGAAGGCCATAATTCATGCAAAAGGTGACCAATTCGAACAAATCTAAACTTATTCTAAAATTTGATGTTATTTCCGACATTAAAAAAAAATGTAAAAATTATGGCGTTTGCCTTTGTTGCAGTTTTTTTTTTATCTCACCCTGTATATTCTTGATCAGCATAATATGCTATGTCGATTTAGCGATGTCCGTCCGTCTGCGGAAATCACTGTAGCCTCCGAACGAAATGAAGTAGGTTGATACAATTTTACTCAAATGTATATTATGCCTACAGGACTTTTGGTATTGAATGTAGGCCATGTAGGTCCACGTTTTGGTATAGCCCCCATATGATGGTACCTATCCATATATTCGGTATTTTGAAGATTGTAGCGGCATTATTCACCGGGATTATTTCAAAATTGGTATTTGAAGTTCGTAAGGGAAACCTCGGCCTGTGACAGAAAATTATCTGTGCGGGTCCGCGTTTCGGTATAGCCCCCATATAACGGTACCTCCCTACCCACCGAAATTGTTTGAGATGTCGTATTTGAAGTTCGTAGTGGATGCTACAGCCTGTGACAGAAAACTGTCTAGGTCTTTGCACAGCTCCAATATAACGATACCTTCCTATATACGATATTTTGATGATTTTAGCTACATTGTTCACCGTTTATTTCAAGTTTCGAATTTGAATATAGTAATGGCTGACAAACAATGCCTCTGTAGGTCCATGTCGTATAGACCCCAATTTAACGGCTATATTTGGTCTTTTTTAAAATTTTAACAGAATTTTTTAGGGATTTTATTTTTTGAAATTTTTCAAATTCGTTCCAATTGTTGAAGGGTATTCAAAGTTCGGCCCGGCCGAAATTACTGCTTTTTAACTTGTTTTTTTTTTCATGTTTCACATTTGAATATTGTAATGGCTGATGACCAATGTTACCTATGCAGGTCCACATAATTGTATAGACCCTAATATAACGGCTACATTCGGAGTTTTGAAGATTTTAACAGGATTTTTAACGGTTTTTATTTTATTTTTATTATTATTATTATTATTATTATTATTATTATTATTATTATTATTATTATTATTATTATTATTATTATTATTATTATTATTATTATTATTATTATTATAATTATTATTATTATTATTATTATTTTTATTTATTTATTTATTTTTTTTTTTTTTTTTTGAAAATTGTCAATTTCGTTTCAAATGGTGGAGGTTTATACAAAGTTCGGCCCGGCCTTAGTACTAACATAAACACTTCTCAGAAACTTGTATATAAGCCGAGCGAGTGAGATGCTATTATGTTATTCCAGATTTTGAATGCCAGCGAAGATTCCCCAGTTGAATATTTCCAAAGTCCAGGACATTTCAGCCCCGCATATTCAGTGTTTAGTTTACTAAATATTTTTTTTTTTTATAATTCTCCTTTTTTTGCTCCAGATATATAAATACAAGAATTATATGCTTTAGAAAGACACACACACACATAAAAACTCGCTCTCTTTCTCTGCTCTGGTATTTTTGAAAATGAGAGAAAATCTTATTACCTTTGAGTGGTGGCAGAAAAATGTGGGTTACGGCTTTTCACGATGTTGTTGCGTTTTTATTTGGTTTTTTTTCGCAAAACTTCTTTAACTTCTATTTCTTGTTCCTTGTGGTGTGGTGGTCCTTTGCTTATTTGGCTACTGATTATTTTTTGTATTTGTATTTGTTTTTTGGTTTCGTTTTTCTCCCTCTGTAGTTGGTGGTATCTGGCCTAAGATGAAATCTTTAAGGTCTGATTTTTTTTCTCTTCTGTTTTATTTATTTTTGGATTGCATCTAAGTATCCGAAATTATTACACAATAACTTATGGGCCTCCTAACAAGGGGCTGGTATTTTTAATGAACATCTTTTTTTTTGCTTTTTAAATGATATATAGAAATTCTGGTGAGTGAGGGATTTTATGTGAATCTGCTGTCGTTGTTGTTTTAACACTTTGAACTCTATTTGCTACTTGGAAACATCTTATATACACACAATTTTCTTTTGAATGGCTTATTTATTAAACATTTTTGTGCTAGATTTTCTTAATAAATTTTTTTTTTTTTTTTTTTTGAATTAATTTATAAATTTTAAATATTTTTTTTATTTCCCATAAAATTTCAATCTATTTTCCATTAAATTTTTCTATCTTTTTAATTATTCATTTGTGTTTCAAACGAAAAAAAATACCCAATAGAAAATATTTCACTTTTTGATAACCGTTAAAGTTAACCTTTTTTTTTGCTATTCACTTTCAGAATTCCTTGCTTCACACACAGGAGAGAGTAGGATTTTCGACGTTGTTTTTAAGTTCACTTTCAATTCGATACTGTAACCAATCGTTTCGCAATTTGTATGCAATTGTCGCAGGTCCTCATAATCATGTTTCTTTCACGGCTCATTTCCTTCTAACGGCTCTCCCACATCAAGCTGTCGTACTTCCTCTCTCTATATGTAATTCTCTCTCTCTCTCTCTGCTCTTTAAAAAATATAAGGCAAATATTACTTTTACTCTATGTCATTCTCGCGCTCAGTAAAGCGGTAGTAGGTTAATGTGTTTTACCTTTTGCCTGTTTCCTTTTTGTTGTTGTTGTTTGTCTTTGCCACCAACATCTGTAGTAGACATGCGCAAAGTATTGTTTATCTACGTACATATGTATATAGAGATAAATGAAAGCTTTTCGTTGAGAGCTTAGCTAATGTCATTGCTGAAGTGTTGAGATGCAACTGTGGTGTCATGGCGTTGAAAGCTTTTGGCGGGTCAGTTATGACCCAGGGAAATTTTGAAATAGAAAAGGTAAAAAGTTTTTATTTCTCATTCTTTGAGTGTTTAGTTTTTCAAAATTATGAAACCTGACGTACCAGAAGAAATCGTCCGATTCCTACAATCTTTATAACAGATCTTGAAAATATTGAGATGTACCATGACTGAATGGAATTGGATGCTAATTTCGTTTTATATGAGCTTCATGGATATTCAAAATTTTGACCCTTTTGTGGGGGAGTTACCAGAAGGAGTACACCGGTATATCCCATCTTTACACCAGACCTTGGGTTGATAAAAATATTGTTATGTATGAAATATGAAGAGAACCGAATACTTATTTCGGATTTTTTAAAGTTTTTGGTTTTTCAAAACTTTGACCCTTTGTGGGGGAGGTACCACAAGGAATGGTCCGATCTCTACATTCTTTATAGCAAACGGAATATTGACGGAAATATTGAGATGTACCACTGCTGAATGGAATCGGATGTTAATTTCGCTTTATATGAGCTTCATGGATATTCAAAATTTTGACCCTTTTGTGGGGGAGGTACCAGAAGGAGTAGACCGGTATATCCCATATTTACACCAGACCTTAGTTTAATGAAAATTATTAGGATGTGTGTAATTTGAAGACAATCGAACTCTTTCATCACATTTTAAAAGAGTTATAATTATTCAAAATTTTGACCATTTGTGTGGGGAGGCACTTGATGGAGTGGACCGATATTGGCCATTTTCCCACCGGACCTAGCACTGATGCAAATATTAGGATTCGCAAAGTTAAAGCAAAATCGGATGATCCTTTCTGTGGTAAGTTTAAACCAAATCGGATACTCCCTTCGAGAGTTATCATGCGCACCAGCCAGCCAGAGAGACGGATAGACGGACATCGCTTGATCCATTCCAAATATCCTGAAACGGATTTGGTCCAAGGAGACCTAGTGTCTAAACTTTTATTTCGATGAGGCACTTTTCTTTCATTCTTCGAATCGAAGAAACAATCATCTTGATCTTCTGACACTTCTTCATCGCATTGTTCCACATAATTTGAATAAATGGGATAAGATCAATCAAATATTGCGGAATAATCGTATTTGCCTTCTTGAAGAGATATCTTGGCAGAACTGCTCCTCCTGGCATCTGACGCTTCTTAGACGCATTGTTCCGCACTCTTGCGAATCTTAGGTATAAGACAAATACAATTTTTGTGAAAAAAACGTGTTGGCCTGTTTGAAAAGATGTCTTTGCAATTATACTCCTCTTATCCTCTGCCGTTTCTTCATTGCATTGCATTCCACATAATTCGAATAAAATTATCAAATTTTGCGGAATAATCGTCTTGGCCTTCTTGAAGAGATATGTTGGCAACATTGTTCCTCTTTTCCTCTGACACTTCTTCATCGCATTGTTCCGCATTCTTCGAATCGAAGGAATAATCATCTTGATCTTCTTGAAGAGATGTCTTGGCAACCCACTCCTCGTATTCTCTGACGCTTCTTCATCGCATTGTTCCGCATTCTTCGAATCTAATTTTGCGGAATAATCGTCTTGGCCTTCTTGAAGAGATATGTTGGCAACATTGCTCCTCTGTTCCTCTGACACTTCTTCATCGCATTGTTCCGCATTCTTCGAATCGAAGGAATAATCATCTTGATCTTCTTGAAGAGATATCTTGGCAACCCGCTCCTCGTATCCTCTGACGCTTCTTCATCGCATTGTTCCGCATTCTTCGAATCTAATTTTGAGGAACAATCGTCTTGGCCTTCTTTGAAGCCATACTTCTCTGCCACTCCTTAATTGAATTGTTTCACATAATTTTGCGCAATAATCGTATTTGCCTTCTTGAAGCGATATCTTGGCAGAACTGCTCCTCCTGGCATCTGACGCTTCTTAGTCGCATTGTTCCGCTCTCTTGCGAATCTTAGGGATAAGACAAATAAATTTTTGTGAAAAAAAAATCGTGTTGGCCTGTTTGAAAAGATATCTTTGCTATAATACTCCTCTTATCCTCTGCCGTTTCTTCATTGCATTGCCTTCCACATAATTCGAATAAAATTATCAATCATTTGCGGAATAATCGTCTTGGCCTTCTTTGAAGCCATACTTTGTTGGCAACATTGCTCCTCTTTTCCTCTGACACTTCTTTATCGCATTGTTCCGCATTCTTCGAATCGAAGGAATAATCATCTTGATCTTCTTGAAGAGATGTCTTGGCAACCCGCTCCTCTGACGCTTCTTCATCGCATTGTTCCGCATTCTTCGAATCTAATTATGAGGAACAATCGTCTTGGCCTTCTTTGAAGCCATACTTCTCTTTTTCTCTGCCACTTCTTAATTGAATTGTTTCACATAATTTTGCGCAATAATCGTCTTTGGCCTTCTTGAAGAGATGTCTTGGCAGAACTGCTCCTCCTCTCTTCTGACGCTTCAAAAATTGTTCCGCATTCTTCGAATCTAAGGGATAAGACTAATCAAATTTTGCGGAATAATCGCCTTTGGCCTTCTTGAAGAGATGTCTTGGCAACCCGCTTCTCGTATCCTCTGACGCTTCTTCATCGCATGCGGAAGCATTCTTTGCTCTACAAAACAGTTGACATCGACAATTGTGTTCATTAAAAGGGCTTTGTTGTGAACTCTGCTTTATAGAAATGAAGTGAGGAACCTAATTTTGTAACCATTCTTGGGTGGCGTGTGCTGAGTGCGATGGTGCTGAGTCCGGTTGGATTATATTTCAGAACATAATCAAAAATGGACTCACTTCTGACATTGGTATTGTTGCTGCCCCATTGGAAGTGATGTGCCTACAACCTATAATTGTATGCCCTTTGTCAGCCAGATCTTTGAGCAGCTCCTCTACTTCGTGGCCAGGTGGGTCAGGTCGCTCGTACGGTAGGTAGAGTGAGACGAAAATGAGAACGTAATGTCTCCTCCACTGTAGTTGCTAAGGAAGATAAGATTTAAACTCTTTTTGGCAACAATACACGTCCTTACCTTATCACCATTATCGCGTAAGAGTCGTACTGTCCACTCCCTAGTCCAGTTACCCTATTATTGTATATACAGGGTTCCTGAACCAGAGCTATGTCTACTTCAGCTTTCGTGCAGTGATGCAGATTAATCTGCATGATGCTAAGTAGCTGCTGTTTTCTTCTTCCTAATGCCACGGCGTTACCCGAAAACGGATCCAGCCGTCGCCGAAGTGCAATTTTCCCCCACGAGCTTGAAGGTACTCCTCGCCATCTGTATCCATAGATACTTTGATGACCAGGCCCCCTCGCGAAAACCAGATACTGCGGTGACCAGGTAATCCAACAGTCGGTACCCTGACTGCAAACCGAGAAGCACTGATGGGCACGGTTTACGTAAAACCCCAGCGTTAAGGGGTCTTAATCTTCGGTAGACCAACACCGATCACTTGATAGTTTGAGGCGCCAGTTGTTCGTCTCGTCGAACCAGGGATCATGGGCACTCGGATATTTGTTCCGAGACTCACCCCCCGGTACCGCTGAGTTGTCCGCGACTGCTTATTTATTCGCAGCTGCCTAATATATCTGTTGGACGTCTTACGATCCGCAACCTGTGGACGCGTCCGGTAGCATCCAGCTATGCTTCCGATAATCGGCCGGAGGCTTTAACCCGAGCTCATTTTTCAATATTTGCCGAATGGAATATTGCGATATGTTTAGCTCACGAGCCATTTTTCGGCCACTGCGACGCGGGTTTCGATTAAGTCGTTTCTTTACTTTTCGAACCATTTCGCTGATGTTGCTGTTTTCTTCCGTCCACTACCTTGACGTCGAGCTACGATACCGGTATGACGGTAACGGGCGATGGTATGAGACACAAAAGATTTATTCACATTTTACTGCTGGAGTGCGCTAACGCTAGCCACTTGTGCTTTTTCAGCCAAATATAAAGAAATCAGACCATCACGCTTGATATCCATCACGAATAACGTTTTTTCTCAAAAGTTCTCACCAAAATGCTATTGTTCGGTTGTAAACCATATAATGAGCTGTCACTGGAATAATTTTCATAGCTGTTTGACGAGTGGCTTAGAAATGACAGCAGCCTGAAGTTTATTGCAATTTTCTCATCCCACCCTGTAAAAAAAACTGAGGGAAAATGTTTTTTTTCACAATTCATTTGTTTATTTACTATACATCTCTTTTTCAATTTCCACAGCGGAACCCTTTACAATTTGAGCGAGTTTTTGTTATAGTACCCCATTTAAACAGAAATGGTACGATAAAACATCCAAACAAAACAGAAACTATGACAAAATATTGGAAAAGGTGCTTCTCTAGCATAGTGTTGTTCGAAGACAGCTCCAAAGTTGTGATTCTTCTTAAATGTTGACTCCCACTGACAGGCAAGTTGGAAATCTTCGTTACGGACTTGATGCATATCTTTTGCACACAGCCCTCCAGAGGTCTGGAAGTAGTCATAGCCATAAATATAAAATACAAAACCACAGATTTGCCAATTCAATCAGAGACATAAATAAATTCAATTACAAAGAACACTGATCCAATCGATAAGAAGTCAGTTGTTGTTGCGTAGGCCTCGATGAGATCACATTTAATTCACCGCGTATTTAAGTAACAAATATTTATCTGAAAAACAATGAAATTATTCAGTTCTCTCTCCAGTGTATTATTATTTTGTACTATCCTATCTGGATGTGTTATCAGTTCGCGTGCCAGACCCGAAAGCATAGTTAGATATAACTGTTGCACATTTACATGCGGTATCGCCTGTCATGGTATGTCCGATGAAGTTATAAGTCTTTTTTTAATTAAAGAAAATATTGAATATAATTTTAGGTTAATAAGGCGCATTCACACTTTTTAGGGCAGATCTTCAACGCTGGGTCATTGTCAGCAAGTGTATTTCTTTTTTCTCAAATAATGTAATAAATTATGTAGAAACTTATGGCATAAAAATAAATAACTAATCAAAACCATAACCTAAAATCCAAAAGCATTGTCAGACGCAATCCCAGACTCTTCTCCCAGGGCCACAAGGTCTCTTTCAAGTTTAAAGAGCAAGGACTGTACCAAATCTTCAAGCTCCAGTTTTGAATCATCAACAACATTTAGGTCAACTTTTATCTTTTTTTTAATTCGAGTCGCTGATTCGGTCATTTGTGATTTGACATTAAGCCTTTCCTCTTCCTTGGCTACATCATATTAGGTAAAAGCTCTAATTGTTTCTTCCGAGTAAGGACTTGCCGACGGGAGGAGAAAAACAACCAAATGGTTTGGCTGTAGAATCAATTTGCGTTCCGGCTCGAAGGACCAAATATGAATGAAAAGAGAGCACAACCGAATGGTTTGGCTGTAGAATCAATTCTCAATCCGGCTCGAAGAACCAAATGTGAATGAAAAGAGAGCACAACCGAATGGTTTGGCTGTAGAATCAATTCTGGTTTTTCTGGTACGGAGCTAATTAGAGCGAAATTGAGCTGTTCATAAAATTTAGAAACACAGGAATCAATGTCGCCATTAATGCACCACATACAACCTGATAAGAGAGAGCGGTATATTGGCCTTCGCAAAATTTCGCCTACTAGATAAAGTATTGATAACGGTAATATTGGACAGAGTTTTCCTTAATTCAAGGTTTAAAAGGAGCGTTAGATGATATGTATGCTCAGGAATTACAAATTGAGGACTTCTACAAAGCGAAATATTTTGAGGAAGATGGGAAAATTAAATCTAGGAGTTGTTCCTTACCATTGAGTATAAAATTTACTTGGTATAAACAGCGTTCATAAATCTTATCCCAAAAAGCATCGAGTACAACTGGGTAAGTGGAGGGTACATAATCTAATCTATTATCACCCGAGACCCAAGAAACATTAGGAAGATTAAAATCACCCATGCAAATCAAATTAGAGTTATCTGTAAGAAAAAAGAGGAAATTTTTCCAATAAGATCAACGTGTAAAAGGGTGTAATATATATATCCGGCTCGAAGGACCAAATGTGAATGAAAAAAGAGCACACCCGAATGGTTTGGCTGTAGAATCAATTCTGCTTTTTCTGGTACGGAGCTAATTAGAGCGAAATTGAGCTGTTCATAAAATTTAGAAACACATGAATCAATGTCGCCATTAATGCACCACATAGAACCTGATAAGGGAGAGCGTGGTAGGGGTATATTTGCCTTCGCAAAAATTCGCCTACTAGATAAAGTATTGATAACGGTAATATTGGACAGAGTGTTCCTTAATTCAAGGTTTAAAAGGAGCGTTGGATGATATGTATCGTCAGGAATTACAAATGAAGAACTTCTACAAAGCGAAATATTTAGGGAAGATGAGAAAATTAAATCTATGAGTCATTCCTTACAATTGAGTAAAAAATTTACTTGGTATAGACAAAGTTCATAAATCTTATCCCAAAAAGCGTCGAGTACAACTGGGTAAGTGGAGGGTACATAATCTAATTTATTATCAACCGAGACCCAAGAAACATTAGGAAGATTAAAATCACCCATGCAAATCAAACTAGAGTTATCTGTAAGAAAAAAGAGGAAACTTTTGCAATAAGACCAGCGTGATTTAAGTAAGTTTCAACCCCTGAATTGGGTGTAATATATGAGCAGGATATATATTGTATTACCAAAGAATATTAGCTTTGCACAGACAAATTCATTATTTGGGTCGACAAAAATATCGACAGCTTCCGCAGGAATCTGAAAATTAGATAATTATTGGGAAATATTTCTGTATCAAGAATATCAAGTGGTGTACTGCAATCAGAACTCCACCACCTTTTTTATTCAACCTATCCTTTCTGAAAAATTAGATAATTATCGGAAAATATTTCTGTATCAAGAATATCACTAAAAACAATTGTTTCATGTTCACAGTATACACTTTTAAGGAAAACATTACTCAATTTAGTGTTCAGACCTCTTACATTCTGATATAGTATAGATATAGATAGTTTTTTGATACTGTTGGAATATTCACAGATCTAGGGGTTTTTGTACGTTCTCTGAAAAAAATTCCTTCACCAAGGCACCATCAGGCCAAAACGAGTTACTGACAATAGTATTTAATATTTTGTGGGGGTACATTTATTTTAAAAGAGGAAATTTCACGCCGTTGAGAGGAACTAAATTTGAATACATTTATATCTGTATCTGACAAATCGGTTATTTTAGATTTCACGTAGTTACGAATTAGCATCAGTTGAAGTATTTGGGTGCAGCTTAGATAAAAATACAGTTTTACGTGGCGCAACAACAATTCACTGATTAGAAAGCGGTTGATTAAAGTCTTCATTTAGAGCAACTGTAGGGCTTAAATGTGTATCATTAACAACGATAGTGGGTGGTTTGGAGATTTTTTTTGCCATAATTTTTTTTTTTAATTTTATTGAATGAAAGCAAAAATGTCGGAAATAGCTTCAAATTGTAAAATAAGTTTAGATTTGTTCGAATTGGTCATCTTTGTCACAAATTATGGTCTTCAAACGGCCAATGAAATCGTCACACGCTGCCGGAATGTTGCTCTGCGATATTTTGGCCCATTTCCGGGGAAGCGCTTGCTTGAGATGATCGACACATTGGTATTTTTCAGTGCCAACCTTGCTTTCCAAAATGCACCAGACACAATTGTCCAACGGATTGGTATCCGGAGATTTTTGTGGCCATTGCGCACTGGAAATAAAGCGAGGAACCTCATTTTCTAAGCAGTCTTGGGTGGCGTTTGCTGAGTACGGTGGTGCTGAGTCCTGATGGAATGTCCAAGGTCTGCGGCCAAAATGTTTGCGTGCCCAAGGCTTTAATATACCCTCCAGAATATTTTCGCGATAATATTCGGCATTTATTTCGATGCCATGGTCGATTAATACGAGCGGAGAGCGACCATCACGCCACCACCATGGCTAGCCCTCTTTGGCAAGCATTGTTTGTTTACAAACTGCTGGACAACGAATGTTTTCTCATCGGAGAAAACCAAATTCGGCAGTTCAGCACTTTCGGCCAAGCGAAGTAACTCTTTGGCTCTTTTGAGTCCATTTTCTTCTTGTTGCGGTGTAAATTCTTGCACTTTTTGGAATTTCAATGGCTTTACCCCGAGGTCATTTTGATATATTTGCTTATTGGAATATTGCGATATGTTCAGCTCACGAGCCATTTTTCGATCACTGTGACGCGTTGATGACGTATTGTGCCCTTTTTGCTGCATTTTCCATCGTTTTTGCCAACATTTCGGCCGGAATAGCGGCTATTTCTTCACGAATGTTGTCCTTGAGCTCTTTTACGGTCCTTGACTTGTTAACGTAAACCTTTGACTTCAAAGATCCCCACAAGAAGAAGTCAGGCGGCGTCAAATCGGGCGAACGCGGTGGCCAGTCCAAATCACCACTTTTCGACATCAAACGGCCCGGAAACAAATTCTTCAGAAAATCGATTGTTATGCGACTTGTGTGCGGTGGAGCGCCGTCTTGTTGAAACCAGAATTGCCTCATACGCTTTCGACGAATAATTGGCATCACAAAATTGGTCATCATGTCGCGATAACGCTCCTGATTGATGGTAACAGCATGGCCATTTACATTTTGGAAGAAAAACGGCCCAACGGACCGTTTTCGCACTAACGCCGCACCAAACTGTGACTTTTTCGTCATGAAGAGGCATTTCTTGAATCTCCTGAGGATTTTCAGTGGCGTACAAATGGCAATTTTGCTTATTTACGGTCCCATTCAATGTGAAATGGGCTTCATCGGACATGATAATTTTGTTCCAAAATTGCTCATCTTCGGCCATTTCGATGACTCTTTGGGCACATTCCAATCGACGAGGCTTGTCCGCAGGCAACATTCTTTGCATCAATTGAATTTTGTACGGGAACAAATGCAAATCAATGCGAATAATCCGTTGTAAAGTGGGCCGAGCCATGCCCAACTGCTGAGAACGGCGTTTTTGAGATGTTCTTGGGGACCTCTCAACACTGGCTCGTATGGCAGCGATATTCTCGGCCGATCGCCTTGGTTGACTTTTATATGGCCTCTTCGGATTAGAAAGAGCCTTACCAGTCGAAAATTTTTCGTATAAACGCTTAATGGTGTTCTTAGAAGGCGCACTTCTCACATTTTTTATACCCTCCACCAAAAAAGGTATGGAGGGTATATTAACTTTGTCATTCCGTTTGTAACTCATCGAAATAATCATTTTAGACCCAACAAAGTATATATATTCTTGATCAGCGTAAAATTCTAAGACGATTTAGCCCTGTCCGTCCGTCTGTCCGTCTGTTGTAATCACGCTACAGTCTAAACGAATTAAGATAGGAAGCTAAAATTTTGCACAGATCTCTCTTTTGTCTGCAGGCAGGTCAAGTCCGAAGATGGGCTATATCGGTCCACGATATCGTATAGCCCCCATATAACGGTACCCCCCGATATTCGGTATTTAGATGATTTTACCCACATTTTTCAACGGAATTGTCTGAAAAAACACACAAGGAGTTCCTTGTGGGTACTTTATACCTCGGCAGAGAATTGTCTATATAGGTCCACGATATCGTATAGCCCCCATGTAAGGGTACCCCCCGATATTCGGTATTTTGATGATTTTACCCACATTTTTCAACGGAGCCCCCATGAAACGGTACCCCCCGATATTCGGTATTTTGATGATTTTACCCACATTTTTCAACGGAATTGTCTAAAAAACCACATAAGGAGTTCCTTGTGGGTACTTTATACCTCGGCAGAGAATTGTCCATATAGGTCCACGATATCATATAGCCCCCATGTAACGGTACCCCCCGATATTCGGTATTTTGATGATTTTACCCACATTTTTCAACGGAATTGTCTGAAAATCCACACAAGTAGTTCCTTGTGAGTACTTCACCCCCTGAGAGAGAATTGTCTATACAGGTCCACGATATCGTATATCCCCCATATAACGGTACCTCCCGATATTCGGTATTTTATGATTTGACCCACATTTTTCATCGGAATTGTCTGAAAATCCACACAAAGAGTTCCTTGTGGGTACTTTATACCTCGGCAGAGAATTGTCCATATAGGTCCACAATATCGTATAGCACCCATATAACGGTACCCCCCGATATTCGGTATTTTGATGATTTTACCCACATTTTTCAACGGAATTGTCTGAAAATCCACACAAGGAGTTCCTTGTAGGTACTTTATACCTAGGAAGAGAATTGTCCATATAGGTCTACAATATCGTATAGCCCCCATGTAACGGTACCCCCCGATATTCGGTATTTTGATGATTTTACCCACATTTTTCAACGAAATTGTCTGAAAATCCACATAAGAAGTTCCTTGTGGGTACTTTATACCTCGGCAGAGAATTATCTATATAGGTCCACAATATCGTATAGCCCCCATACAACGGTACCCCCGATATTCGGTATTTTGATGATTTTACCCACATTTTTCAACGGAATTGTCTGAAAATCCACACAAGGAGTTCCTTGTGGGTACTTTATACCTCGGCAGAGAATTATCTATATAGGTCCACAATATCGTATAGCCCCCATATAACGGTACCCCCGATATTTGGTATTTTGATGATTTTACCCACATTTTTCAACGGAATTGTCTGAAAATCCACAAAAGGAGTCCCTTGTGGTCATTTTACCTCCTCAAAATGAAGTATCTATATAGGTCCACGATATCGTATATCCCCCATATAACTGTAACCTCTGATATTCGGTATTTTGATGATATTAGCCACGCTTTTCAATGGAATTGTTTTAAAATCAACACAAGTAGTTCCTTGTGAGTACTTCACCCCCTGAGAGAGAATTGTCTATACAGGTCCACGATATCGTATATCCCCCATATAACGGTACCTCCCGATATTCGGTATTTTATGATTTGACCCACATTTTTCATCAGAATTGTCTGAAAATCCACCTTCCTATATTAGATATTTTAAAGATTTTAAAAGAATTTTTATTGGATTTTATTTTTTTGAAAATCTTTCTAATTCGTTCCAAATGGTGGAGGGTATTCAAAGTTCGGCCCGGCCGAACTTACTGCTTTTTTACTTGTTAATGTTTTAAAAGCTCGTTGAGTTTTCTCAATTGACTTCTTCTGTTGAATGTAAATTTCGACTATTTCAGAGCGCTCGCGTGGCGTGTATTGGTTCATGGTAAAAATCTGCTTGGACTGACGCTTCAAACGCGGTATGTCATTAAGCGATGTAACATCTCTGTCAAAAGTTATGGCGTAGCCAGATGGGTCCTTCGAATATGAGCAACCTTGTAGATCTAAACAATAAATATTCTTAAATTACATATTAACCCAGCCGCTATAAAATGCCACAATATCGCGAAGAAGTCGGTGATCTTGTGTGCTGACGCATACGATAATGTAGCAGATAATAAAGGTTATGAACCGCACACGCACATATATCGATGGGCTCAGTAGATGTACAAGACCACTTGAATGAAATGACAAGCAACCCTGCAATGTTCTCCATTAAATATCAGAATAGATAAGAATAATAGAATAGATAATAAGATTAGGTTAAGTTAGATTAGTTTCAGTAGTACTTAAGGAACATATTTTTAAATTAAAAAAAGAACTGGAATTGAATCTACACCCAAGCGAAGCGTTTGTATTCCTTTCTCACTAAACATTGCTCCAGTCGAGCCGAATAGAGTTGACAATCGAAGAGGTAGATTGGACACTTTCCCCGGTTGTATTCCTTTCTCACTAAACATTGCTCAAGTCGAGCCGAATAGAGTTGACTATCGAAGAGGTAGATTGGACTCTTTCCTCAAATTACATTGGTCCTTCGAGCCGGATAGAGAATTGAAACTACATCCAAAGAATAAGGTTGTTCTTTCTTTTCTTTCATTTACACTTGGGATGCGTTTTAGTTAGCAAAATGTTTTCATAGATATTTATTTCCGCACCCCGTGACTCATGAGCTCTACATAATTTATAACATTATTTTATTAAATTTTTCGATAATGACTCGGCATGATGATCAGCTCAAATATGGAAAAGCCTATGGTTTACCTAAAATAATATTCAATATTTTCTCGAATTAAGAAAAGACTTATAACTTCGTGGAACATACCATGACAGTTGGCACCGCAGCCAAATTTGCAACAGTTATCCCCAACTATGACTTCTTCGCGTGGTCGGGCATGAGAAATCTCAACACATCCAAATAGGATGGAACAAATTAATAATGCATAGGATAGAGATATAATTACTTTCATTGTTTTTAAGGCAATTTTTTTTTAATTTAAATGTGGTCTCATCGAGGAACAAATTAATAATGCATAGGATAGAGATATAATTACTTTCATTGTTTTTAAGGCAATTTTTTTTTAATTTAAATGTGGTCTCATCGAGGCCGTCCAAACAATAACTGACGAATAATCGATTTGATCAGAGCTCTTTGTATTATATTTTAATTGTAATTTTATTGCATTGGTATTTTTTACGATCGCTTTTCTGTGGTTTCTATTGCATATATGTGTTGATGACTATTTCCATCTATAACTCTTGACTCCTCCAGCGAAAACAGCACAGCATACAGTGACTTTGAGCGGCTGTAATAGCTTTTCATTGGTTACACGCTGATGTTCAGTGTCCCAGAAGCCTAAATTTTGCTTATTTACGTACCCTCTAAGATGGAAATGGGTATCAATACTTCTTCTGGGGGTTGATTTAGGAAGGCTTGAGCTAACAGCGATGCACCATCTGGATTTTGTACGGAAATATCTTCAAATCTTGTACCGAAATTTGCTGCAACAACCGTCGACTGATACTCATATGCGTGGCACGTCGTCTGGTCGATGTCGACGGCGCTTCCAAGACATCCTCGGCTGGACATCCACGCTGATGTTCAGTGTCCCAGAAGCCTAAATTTTGCTTATTTACGTACCCGCTAAGATGGAAATGGGTATCATTACTTCTTCTGGGGGTTGATTAAGGAGGCTTGAGCTAACAGCGATGCACCATCTGGATTTTGTACGGAAAGATCGTCAAATCTTGTACCGAAATTTGCTGTAGCAACCGTCGACTGATACCCATTTGCGTGGCACGTCGTCTGGTCGATGTCGACGGCGCTTCCAAGACATCCTCGGCTACAGCAGCAATATTCTCTGCAGAACGGATACTCCGGGGCCAGCCTTGGACGGTCACCGACACTTTGGAATTTTTTAGTGCCAACCTTGCTTTCCAAACTACTCCAGACAAAAAGTCCAACGGATTGGTATTCGGAGATTTTGGTGGCCATTGTGCACTGGAAATGAAGCGAGGCACCTCATTCTGTAACCAAACTTGGGTGGCGCGTGCTGAGTGCGGTGATGCTGAGTCCTGTTGGAATGTCCAAGGTCTGTCAAAATGTTTGCGTGTCCAAGGCTTAAATACACCCTCCAGAATATTTTCGCGATAATATTCGGCATTTATTCTGATGCCACGGTCGATTAATACGAGCGGAGAGCGACCATCGGCTGTTATGGCGGCCCACACCATCACCATGGCCGGCGCTTGAGTTCTGGTGGCCAACCGAAGGTGCACATTTTTTCAGCTGACCTCTTTGGCAAGTAAACACCATAATTTTGTTTGTTTACAAACTGCTAGACAACGAATGTTTTCTCATCGGAGAAAACCAAATTCGGCAGTTTACGACTTTCAGCCAAGCAAAGCAACTCTCTAGCTCTTTTGAGTCTATTTTCTTTCTGTTGCGGTGTAAGTTGTGGTATTTTTTGGAATTTCAATGGCTTTACCCCGAGCTCATTTTTCAATATTTGCGGAATGAAATATTGCGATGTGTTCAGCTCACGAGCCATTTTTTGCCACTGCGACGCGGATTTCATGTCACTTCTTTACTTTTCGAACCATTTCTGCTGATGTTGCCGTAATATGCACTTTGTAACAACAATATTTGGGGGAAATATATCAAATACAGCTCAGAAATACCTTTGCTAAATTTTATCGAGATCGGTTCAAATTTGGATATAGCTCCCATATATAACTTTGTCCGATTTACCTTTTATGGTACACCAAACGTCTGATATTTGCCCAAATGGGATGAAATTTGAAACTTTTAGAAGCTAGTATGTCAAATTTGGTGGAGATCGGTTCAGATATAGCTATATATATATTGTTCCCATATATATTGTACATCCGATTTGTTATATTTGTTACCAACAGCCGCAATATGCACTCCGTAACAACAATATTTAGGGAAATATATCAAATACAGCTCAGAAATATCTTTGCCAAATTAAATCAAGATCGGTTCAGGTTTTAATATATGGCTTCCATATATATCAAATGGACAATACAAGTCCGAATTTAAAAGATACAAATGCTTCGGCATATTTTTGGTCTTTTGAGCTTTAAATTATAATTATAATCATAGCGTGTATGATTGAATTCTCCCATAGAAACTTTTAATTGTTATGTGGAGCTCTACTAAATTAGCAAAGTGGTGTAGGGTATCATTAAGTTGCCCCCGCCCGACTTTAATACTATATTTACTGGTTCTAATATTATTTTTGTTATTTCATAATTTTGCTTTATATTTGTATATTTCACATATCATAAATCTTGAGCAGGTTGCATGTTCGTTTTCATTAAGTAAGGTCCTTTTACAACATCCCACGGTGTTAGAATATCCATTTTTATTTCGCCAAAAATCTACCACGATTAGGTTTTGTTCGTGTTAAATAAGACGACGACAATACCATAGGAATGAAAAAAATCACAAAAAAAAAGTAAGACACAATAGAAATGTTGAAATGTCATTTTACGCAGGAACTATGATGAAAACAATCTGATAGATGCGTAGCTTCCGACTTAATGAATATGAAATGCGTCAGCTCATATCGATATTTGAGATATTAGTCATTTTTCCAAGGCATATAAATAGCAGATGCAACCGGATGAGGTTAACGAGTACAAAACTCGAAATAAGCATCCGGTCCTCTTCAAATAGATGGGATACATCGGTCCTCTCCTTCTGGTACTTCCCTACCAAAAAGTTTGACGACAAAAATCCTCTGTCCATTTTTCCTACACAATGTTATGTACAAAATTAAATAAACAGAATATGTCAACTGCATATTCATGTATTTTCTTTCTGGTGGGCCTCAGTACACATTGCAGGTGCACGGTTATCACAACAACAGATCAGTGACCACTCATCATCACCATTGGCGGTGACATGTAATGTTGTTGTGATAACCAAATTTATTTTAAATAAGTTCCCGTTACTTCACAGTGAACACGTGGTGGAGCCGGGTATAAAAGGGCAGTCAATGACAGAATGCAGCAGGAAGTGCCAAACCTTGACAACACCAGCTTCGGTAAGTGACATCATTCCTTAGAGTACTTATCTAGGCCTCTAACCCTTGAATCCCGGTGGTATTCTTATAGTCCTAGTTTCCTAGATCCTTGTAGTGCTTCAGTACTTATTAAGGTCTCTTGCAACCGTATCCTAGATGCTTGCAGTACTTTAGTAAGTATTAAGGTCTATTGCAACCGTATCCTTGAATATCCTGTAGTGCTTGAGTATTTATCGAGGTCTCTTGCAACCGAACATAACCGCATCCAACCGTATCATAGATCCTTGTAGTGCTTGAGTACTTATTAAGGTCTCTTGCAATCGTATCCTAGATCCTTGTAGTGCTTGAGAACTTATTAAGGTCTCTTGAAACCGTATCCTTGAATATCCTGTAGTGCTTGATTACTTATTAAAGTCTCTTGCACCGTATCATTGAATATCTTGTAGTGCTTGAGTACTTAACAGTATCCTTGAATCTCCTGTAGTGCTTGAGTACTTATTAAAGTCTCTTGCAACCGTATCCTTGAATATCCAGTAGTGCTTGAGTGCTTATTATGGTATTTTCCAACCGTATCCTAGATCCTTGTGGTGCTTGCAACCGTATCCTAGAAGCTTGTAGTGCTTGAGTGTTTGTAAAGGCCTTTTGCAACCGCATCATAGATCCTTGTAGTGCTTGAGTACTTATTAAGGTCTCTTGCAATCGTATCCTAGATCCTTGTAGTGCTTGAGAACTTATTAAGGTCTCTTGCAACCGTATCATTGAATATCCTGTAGTGCTTGAGTACTTATTAAGGTCTCTTGCAACTGAATCCTTGAATATCCTGTAGTGCTTGAGTACTTTTTAAGGCCTCTTGCAACCGTATCCTTGAATATCCTGTGGTCTGCTTGAGTACTTATCCAAGTCTCTCGCACTGAATCCATCCCGAATTCTGAGCTCACAAATCCTTGTCCACTTTTTTCTCGAGTACTTATCCAGGTCTCGAGTTGAGGAACAACTTTCAATCCGGACCGAAGATGATTAGGATCATTTTTATTTCCCGTATAATAAACATAGCATGAGTTTCAATCAAACCTCTGTCTATCTCTTTCTGTCTCAACATTTCTGTACGAACCCCTGGAACCCGGTGAGCTATTCCAGCCCAAGGGGAGAAATCCTGACGTTACAGTGACGCCCGAGCAGGGACAGAAAGAGTTAGACGGCGTACGGGTTTAAAGTGTGATAAGTGAAGTGTCATTGTGTGAGTAAGTAAAGTGCTAAGCTAACGAAAGAGCGAAATGGCATTATAATTGCGTGTCTACTGGGCGTACAGCCTCCGAAAAGACGACCCAAATAGTAATCTAGAGGAATTCGATTGTAAAGTAGAAGGAACCGTGGAAGAACAGAGAAGAAGGTTTATCATGTTCTTAGCCCAGTTGCAAGATCCGGAAATGATGAAGAGACTGCTAGAACTCCAAGCTATTCACGAAAAGGAGACGAAGACAGTACCACCGCGGAAGCTGAGTTAGATGGAAGGCACGGCGCCACAGGTTGCCATCCTCTAGAAGCAGGAAAACACTCGATTTTTAGAGTAACGCTGAGTAGGCTCAGAAGTGGGGTATAAGTTTCAATGGGGAGAGTAAGCCGTTTGAATTCGTGGAGAGACTGAAAGAACGAGTCGAGATGTACCAAATCCTCATTAACGACCTGGTAAAAATGATGCCTGAGGTTCTCCATGGACGGGAGGGATTCCGGAAAGACGTTTTAAAGTTCTTCCTCCCTCCGCAATTTATGGAATACATAGAAGACGAGATACGTCAGAGAAAACAGAATCCTCAGGAGTTGTTTAAAGACTACATGTTGTCGATGCAGGACCTAATGAGGCATACCGACTACACTGAGGAGCAAAGAGTGGAGCAAATGTTTAAAAATGTCCTTCCCGAGTATATGTGGTACATCAGGCAGAAGGATCTGGCGGGCCTACTGGAGATGGCGAAAGATCTCGAAGATATACCATCTATACCAAGCATTGCCTGAGACCACTATAGACAGATCGAGCATGTCGAACCAAGAAAGGACACCGAAAGAGGTTTCTATCCCTCCACTGCCTGTCGTAGATGTGGCCAAGAGAGACAGTTCGCAGCCGACTGCCGTTCTTCTGTGAGTGTTGACGGGGTGGAGATTATTGTATATTGTCGTTAGCAATAGGGAAACTAACAGCGAGCCCTCAGGGAGGTAGGAGATGTGGGTTCCAGGTTTCCTACCACGGCGGAACCTCTCTATAGTTCAAAGACTCACGCTTAATAGCAAATATATAAATTTAGCTGACGGTTCCTGACGGCACATCAATCAAACTCTTTGCGCGGATGTAATATTCGAGAAATGTCGACTCTACATTCCATTGAATTCCTAGTTCTCCCAGACTCAAGTGAGGACATAATCCTGGGATTGGATTTTCTGCTACGGAGTCAAACACAAATCACATGCGCAGGACTAAGTTGTGTTCCCCCGATCCCCGAAAAAAACAAAAATTGCGACACTAGGTTGCTGAAACATAACCATCACCTCAAAATATGTTAAGGTAAACGGACAATAGCTGAGGATATACACACAATAAAAACAACGCTCGATGGTATTATAGTGTCAAAACTTGCATTTTAATTATTATTTTGAAATAAAGAAAAAACTGAAGGGAAAGGTCGTTTTATTATTTTTTTTGTCTCTTGTATGCGATAATACGCCACAACTAAACAAGCCACAGTTTGGGCGAGTTAATGGTAGAAGATTACTTCCAATGCCACTCACTTCGAGTTTGATGAAACATCCAATCAAAACAGTAACTATAACCAAATATTGGAATATGCAGGACAGGTTCTTCACTAACATGGTGATGTTCGAAAACGGCTCCAAAGTTGTGTGACAGTTCTTAGAAGTTGGCTCCCACCGACTGACAAGTTGGAAATCTTCGTTGCGGACTTGAAGTATATCATATTTGCACACCACCCTCCCAAGAGCTCTGGAAGGAAAAAGTCATAAACATAAATTTAAAACAAGTAAAAAAGCTGTAAGTTCGGCCGCGCCGAACTTTGAATACCCTCCACTATTTGGAAAGAATTTTACAAATCTCAAAAAATAAAATCCGTTAAAAATTCTGTTAAAATCTTAAAAATACCGAATGTAGCCGTTATTTTAGGGTATATACGACGACGTGCACCTGCATAGGCAATTTTTGCCATAAGCTATTGTCGCTAAAATCATCAAAGTACCGAATATCGGGAGGTACCGTTATATGCTGACTATGCGAAGACATGGACCTGCACAGACAATATTCTGCCACAGGCTTTAGTATCCATTACGAACTTCAAGTACCAATTCTGAAACAATTCCGGTGAATAATGGCGCTAAAATCATCAAAATACCGAATATCGGGAGGTACCATTATATGGGGGCTATACGAAGACGTGGACCTACACAGACAATTTTCTGTCATAGGCTGTAGTACCTACTATGAACTGTAAATACCAAATTTGAATCAATTCTGGTAAATAATGCCGCTAAAATCATCAAAATACCGAATATAGGGAGGTGCGGTCATATGGGGGCTATACGAAGACGTAGACCTGCACAAACAATTTTCTGTCATAGAATTTAATATCCATTGCGAACTTCAAATACCAAATTTGAAAAAATTCCGGTGAGTAATGTCGCTAAAATCATCAAAATACCGAATATCGGGAGGTGCGATTATATGGGGGCTATACGAAGACGTGGGCCTGCACAGACAATTTGCTGTCAGAGGCTGTAGTATCTATTACGAACTTCAAATACCAAATTTGAAACAATTCCGGTGAATATTGCAGCTAAAATCATCAAAGTACCGAATATCGGAAGGTATCGTTACATTGGGGCTATACGAAGACGTGGACCTGCACAGACAATATTTTGTCACAGGCTTTAGTATCCATTACGAACTGCCAATACCAAATTTGAGACAATTCCGGTAAATAATGGCGCTAAAATCATCAAAATACCGAATATCGGGAGGTGCGGTTATATGGGGGCTATACGAAGACGTGGACCTGCACAGACAATTTTCTGTCATAGGCTGTAGTATCCATTACGAACTTCAAATACCAAATTTAAAACAATTCCGGTGAATAATGGCGCTAAAATCATCAAAATACCGAATATAGGGAGGTGCGATTATATGGGGGCTATACGAAGACGTGGACCTGCACAGAGAATATTCTGTCACAGGCTTTAGTATCCATTGCGAACTTCAAATACCAAATTTGAAACAATTCCGGTGAATAATGTCGCTAAAATCATCAAAGTACCGAATATCGGGAGGTACCATCATATGGAGGCTATACGAAGACGTGAACCTGCATAGACAATTTGCTGTCATAGGCTGTAGTGTCCTTTACGAAATTCAAATACCAAATTTGAAACAATTCCGGTGAATAATGGCGCTAAAATCACCAAAATACCGAATATCGGGAGGTACCATCATATGGGGGCTATACGAAGACGTAGACCTGCACAGACAGTTTTCTATCTTAGGCTGTAGTATTCATTTCGAACTTCAAATACCAAATTTTAAACAATTCCGGTTAATAATGTGGCTAAAATTGTCTAAATATTGAATACAGGGAGGTGCGATTATATGGAGGCTATAGACGTGGACCTACACAGACAATTTTCTGTCATAGGCTGTAGTATCCATTGCGAACTTCAAATACCAAATTTGAAACAATTCCGGTGAATAATACCGCTAAAATCATCAAAATACCGAATATCAGGAGGTGCGATTTTATTGGGGCTATACGAAGACGTGGACCTACACAGACAATTTTCTGTCATAGACTTTAGTATCCATTGCGAACTTCAAATACCGAATATCGGGAGGTACCGTCATATGGGGCCTATACACAAAACGTGAACCTACATGGCTCATTTTCAATACCAAAAGTCCTGCAAACATAATACAGATTTGAGTAAAATTTTATCAACCTATGAAGCAGATTCGTTCGGAAGCTAAAGTGATTTCCACAGACGGACGGACATCGCTAAATCGACAATAAAATTTTATGCTGATCAAGAAAATTTATACTTCGTGGCGTCTAAAATGTATATTTCGAGGTGTTACAAACGGAATGACAAACTTAATATACCCTCCATACTATGGAGGTGGAGGATATAAAAAAAGAAACCACAGAAAATCGGTTTAAAAAAAATACCAAGGCAATCCGAGTTATAATTAAATTATAAAACAAAGAATACAGATCAAATCGATAAGACGGCAAATGTTGGTTCGTAGGCCTCGATGAGACCACATTTTAATCATCGGCTGTTAAAATAACAAAGTTTCCTTTAAAAACAATGAAGTATTCATCTCTCTCGCTCTCTCTCTCCTATGCATAGTCTCTTGATTTCCCATGCCAGACCAGAAGAGGATAGAGCTATGGATAACTGTTGCTTATTTGGCTGCGGTACTAGCTGTTGTGGAATGTTCGACGAAGTTATAGGTCTTAAAGACAAGTTAAATAGTATCAGTCGGTTTTGCCGACAGATGTATACCCCCAGCCTTGAGTTATGATTATTCAAACTGTTAACCCTTTATGAGGAAAGTTCCGAAACACTTGGCCAATATTGACCAATTCGTATCTGACCTAAGACTGATATAAATATAACAATGTGGCAGATTTTGAACTATATCGATATATGCAAAATTTTGAAAAATATGGAAATGTGCGTGACATAACAGCTATAGTCGACCGAAGTATTCCATTTTTATACCCTCCACCTTGGAAAGCAGGGTATATTAACTTTGCCATTCCGTTTGTAACATCCCTAAAATTATACGTCGTAAACCCCACCGAATTTGGCAGAACAATTTGTATTGTGTCTAGGATGATTGGTATTGAAAATGAGATATATCGGTCCACGTTTTGGTATAGCCCCCTTGTAACGGTACCTCCCAATATTCAGATTTTTCATGATTTTTGCAACATTTATTCACAGATTTGTCCCAAAGTTGGTATTTGTAGTTCATATTTGGTTCAAGCTCAAAATCGGATAATGCTTTCTCTTTCTGTGCAGTAAATTATTATACCCTCCACCATAGTATGGAGGGTATATTAGGTTTGTCATTCCGTTTGTAACACCACGAAATATACATTTTAGACCCCACAAAGTATATAGGTTCTTGATCAGCATAAAATTTTACTGTCGATTTAGCGATGTCCGTCCGTCTGTGGAAATCACTTTAGCTTCCGAACGAACCTACTTCATAGGTTCATAACATTTTACCCAAATGTATATTATGTCTGCAAGACTTTTGGTATTGAAAATGGACCATTTAGGTCAACGTTTTGGTATAAGCTCCATATGACGGTACCTTCCGATATTCGGTATTTTAATGATTTTAACGACATTATTCACCGGAATTGTTTCAAATTTGGTATTTGAAGTTCGTAAAGGACACTACTGCTTATGACAGAAAATTGTCTGTGCAGGTCCACGTCTTCGTATAGCCCCCATATAACCCCACCTCCCGATATTCCGTATTTTGATGATTTTAGTGACATTATTCACCGGAATTGTTTCAAATTTGGTATTTGAAGTTCGTAATAGATATTACAGCCCATGACAGAAAATTGTCTGTGTAGGTTCACGTCTTCGTATAGCCCCCATATAACGGTACCTCCCTATATTCGGTATTTTGATGATTGTAGCGACATTATTCACCGGGATTGTTTAAAATTTGGCATTTGAAGTTCGTAATGGATACTACAGCCTAAGACAGAAAATTGTCTGTGCAGGTCCACGTCTTCGTATAGCTCCCACATAACGGTACCTCCCGATATTCGGTATTTTGATAATTATAGCGACTTTATTCACCCGAATTGCTTCAAATTTGGTATTCGAAGTTCGTAATGAATACTACAGCCTAAGACAGAAAATGAGCCATGTAGATCCTCGTTTTGTTATAGCCCCCATATAATGGTACCTCCCGATATTCAGTATTTTGATGATTTTAGCGACATTATACACCGGAATTGTTTCAAATTTGTTATTTGAAGTTCATAATGGGTACTACAGCCTATGACCGAAAATTGTCTGTCCAGGTACATGTCTTCGTATAGCCCACATATAACGGTACCTCCCGATATTCGGAATTTTGATGATTTTAGTGACATTATTCACCGGAAATATTTCAAATTTGGTATTTGAAGTTCGTAATGGGTACTACAGCCTAAGACTGAAAATTGTCTGGGAAGGTCCATGTCTTCGTATAGCTCCAATATAACGGAACGTCCCTATATAACGGATTTTTTTTTTTTTTTTTGAAAATTTCCAAATTCTTTCCAAATGGTGAAGGGTATTCAAAGTTCGACCCGACCGAACTTACTGCTTTTTAACTTATTTTAAATTTATTGAATGAAAACAAAAAATTCGCAAATATCATCAAATTTTTTGGAATAAGTTTAGATTTGTTCGAATTGGTCACCTTTGGCACGAATTATGGCCTTGAAATGGCCAATGAAACCATCACGCCCATTGCCGGCGAAGCGCTTGCTTGAGGTGATCGATCGACACTTTGGTATTTTTTAATGCCAACCTTGTTTTCCAAAATACTCCAGACACAGTAGTCCAAAGGATTGGTATTCGGAGATTTTGGTTGCCATTGTGCGCTGGAAATGAAGCGAGGAACCTCATTTGGTAACTAGTCTTGGGTGGCGCGTGCTGAGTCCTTTGGGAATGTCCAAGGTCTGCGGCCAAAATGTTTGCGTGCCCAAGGCTGTAATACACCCTCCAGAATATTTTCGCGATAATATTTGGCATTTATTCTGATGTCACGGTCGATTAATACGAGCGGAGAGCGACCATCGGCTGTTATGGCGGCCCACACCATCACCATGGCCAGCGCTTGAGTTCTGGTAGCCAACCGAAGGTGCACATTTGCCAGTGCACATTCTTTGGCAAGTAACCACTATCATTTGGTTTGTTTACAAACTGCTGAACAACGAATGTTTTCTCATCGGCGGGAACCAAATTCGATTCGGCAGTTTACCAATTTCGGCCAAGCGAAGCAGCTCTTTAGCTCTTTTGAGTCTATTTTCTTTCTGGTTGCGGTGTAAGTTGTGGCATTTTTTGGAATTTCAATGGCTTTACCCCGTGCTCATTTTTTAATATTTGCCGAATGGAATATTGCGGTGTGTTCAGCTCTCGAGCCATTTGTTGGCCACTGGGACGCAGATTTCGATTAAGTCACTTCTTTAATTTTCGAACCATTTCTGCTGATGTTGCTGTTGTCTTTCGTCCACTTCCTTGACGTCGTCGGGCTACGCTACCAATAGAGTACCGGTAATGAGCGATGGTATGTGACACAAAAGATTTATTCACATTTAAATGATGGAGTGCTCTAACAATAGCCACTTGTGGCTTTCCAGCTAAATATAAGGAGATCACACCATCACGCTTGAATTCCATCACGAATATGTTTTTTTCTGCAAAATTCTCACCAAAATGCTTTGGAACGCTTGTCAACAATATAATGAGCTGTCGCTGGAATAATTTGAACAGCTGTCGGACGCGTGGCTTAGAAATGACAGCAGTCTGAAATTGATTGCAGTTTTCTCATCTCACCCTGTATATTTATATGGTTGTCAAAAAAAGGAATGTACTTTAAGCATGTATTTCACAACGATTTCTGCAACTTCTACATATGGAAAACTTGACATTACATATGTAAAAAAACATTTCGTCTGATAGAGCCTTAATCTGTTGCCTAAGTAGGTAAAATAGGTCCGTGCAATTGCACGGTTATGATATGTATTTTTCAAAAAATTTTAATAAATTTCAATAATTTTTCATTCGACATTTTCAATTCCAAATTCGGCTTGACAGTTCATTGTCCCAGCAGCTGTGTCGATGCGATTGCCTGTATTCTTCTTTTGGAGGCAAATTTCCAAATTTCACATTTCTGCAGCAAAAATAATGTTTCAGTAGTTTCTCCTCGACGTTGTGTGGACGAATTCCAAGTCCGCAAATGTTGTTTTTTTAATGTGGTTTGTTGTTGTTGTTGTTGCTTAAACTACAGCAAATTAAAAAATTGAAAAAAATATTGAAAAATATTGCGTTTGTGAATTCCTGATACTCACCTTTACAATTATCTCCACAACTAAATTTACAGCAGTTATTCTTTGACGCTGTAACTACATCGGCTTGGGTCATGGTAATCAAGAGGTTCAATAATAGAAACACTAGAAAATATAAATTGAATAACTTCATTGTCGTACTTTTTTCGCCACAAGTTGTAGACGAACTAATCAATTAAGGCGCACACAACCATTTAATTTAAGGCAAAATAAAAACAATTCGGGGGAATCACACAAATCGAAACGATTGAAGGAAGGTTTCAATTTGCCATTGTTTACGACACAACTTTGCGGTTTTTGTTGTGAAATTCTGAAAAACCACAATCCATTAACACAAGCCGAGATCGTGAGGATCGTGAGTACAAAAAAGCTATTGCAGGGCATGTGGTCAAAACAATGAAAAGAAAATGTTTCAAATTTGGTATTTGAAGTTCGTAATGGATACTACAGCCTATGACAGAAAATGAGCCATGTAGGTCTACGTTTCGGTATAGCTCCCATATAACGGTAACTCCCGATATTCGGTATTTTGATGATTTTAGCGACATTATTCACCGGAATAGTTTCAAATTTGGTATTTGAAGTTCGTAATGGATACTACAGCCTTTGACAGAAAATTGTCTGTGCAGATTCACGTCTTCGTATAGCCCTCATATAACGGTAGCTTCCGATATTCGGTATTTGGATGATTTTAACGACACTATTCACCTGAATTGTTTCAAATTTGGTATTTGAAGTTCTTAATGGATACTAAAGCCTATGACAGAAAATTGTCTGTGCAGGTCCGCGTCTTCGTATAGCCCCATATAATGGTACCTCCCGATATTGGGTATTTTGGTGATTTAGGCGACATTATTCACCGGAAATATTTTAAATTTGGTATTTGAAGTTCGTAATGGATACTAAAGCCTATGACAGAAAATTGTCTGTGCAGGTTCACGTCTTCGTATAGCCCTCATAACGGTATAGCCCGATAAGACCGAATATCGGGAGGTACCGTTATATGGGGTACATACGATATCGTGGACCTATATATACAATACTCCTCCAAGGTGAAACTTACTCAGAAGTAACTGTTGGAGTGGATTTACAGACAATTTCATTGAAAAATGTGGCTAAGATCACCAAAATACCGAATAATGGGGGGTACCATTATATGGGCGGCTATACGATATTGTGGATTGATATGGCACATCTTCGATCCTATACCCTTCATACTATGCATAGTGGAGACTATAAAATTGTTGTATGTCACGGCGCAATTGCAAGGTGTTCCTGCAAATTTCTAAATTCGTCGACATAATACGGCACAAGGCAAATAATTCTCATTTAGTTGGTAAATCCTATCACAAATACGCTTCGGTTTGGGTTACGCTTCGGACAGGCTTGCCACTGCACATGGGGGAAGAGGATAATTAGTGATTTTATCAATAATTTTCCGTCCTGCGACTAAAAGAATTGTTAGCAGAGACTACCTTTTTTGAACTGGCTGGCTCTCATTCAGTTGAGTGGCTGGCTCATTCATTTAGATAGGGTCTTAGGCTCATTGTTTCGCAAGAGCTTGGGCTCATTCATACAGTATCATAGCTCGAATATTGGTAGACAATTAAAGGTGATCATAAACTGTAGTGCTAGCTAAAATAGTTCCGCAGCCATTGTAGACGAGCCAAATAGCTAAACGCCAACGTGCTCACACAGTAAGCTGCCGAACTAGTTCTGATTGATTTGTGAAGGCAAAGAATTCGCCTGCCGAACATATCCACTGTGATCTCGAATCCCGAACATACCTATCTACCGCGGGCATCTCCGTCCAAGTAAACGGCCGTCCTCGAACGATTATATCACGAGTCCCCACCACGTCTTTGTGACTATGCGGTGCACTAGTACTGTGGTTCTTACAGAAGCCGAATTGATGGCCGGCAATAACTTTGAGAGTATATATAGAAGACTGATAGTTCTATACGATTTGACCTCCGTTGCATCTTTTCCAGATTTGGGAATCATTACTATTTCCGATTCTTTCCATGCAGACGGGAAGTACCCTACTCGAAGAATGTTGTAGTAGGTAGTTGGTAATTTCTTGAGCATTTTTGGTTTGAATTCGGATTTTTTTTTTCAGTTTCGTCGAGGCTATAGAAATTTCGATTTATCGTATTGGATTCGGAACAATGTCGTCAGTAAGAGGTTGAACCACTGTCGATGGTGTAAACACAGATTCAAGGTGCCTTTACTTTTTCTTCTGTAGTTTATGCCCAGGTCCCATTTTCTAGGCGAATTGGAGATTCGTGGGCGATAGGTCTACTCAAGTTTTTTTGCGGCTTTCCATAAGCTGTAATCAGATCTCTCTCTCTATGGATTCTAGGTTATTTAGGAATATTTCTAAGTTTCGCTCTTCGTTTAATCTGAGTGGATGTTTTAGTAGTTTTTCACATTCTTTTAGTTTGTCTCGAAAACTAGGGGAGAGGTGCTTCTGCCATTCTCTTCTGACCTTCCTTTTTTCAGACACGACTCCAGACTTTATGGAAATGTTAAGATTTACATGCGTACTGACATATTTTATGTACTTCATCCAGTTTGTGTGCTTATTTGGCAGTTTGGGAATGGTCTGACGACAAGTCAAACGAGGATACCTCGGAAATCTGTTCCCTCCTAAAAATCTTTGTTACTACTTGATTTCAACTATGGTTTAATAAATAATATTCTCACATATGTATGGACCATCCAAAAAATGCATCCCTTGACGTACAATATCTAATGTCGGAAATAACATAAAATTTTCGAATAAGTTTAGATTTGTTCGAATTGATCACCTTTGGCACTAAATGAAACCGTCACACGCTGCCCGAATGTTGCTCTGCGGTATTTTGGCTCATTCCCGGCGAAGCGCTTGCTTGAGGTGATCGATCGACACTTTGGTATTTTTTAGTGCCATCCCTGCTTTCCAAAATACTCAAGACACAAAAGTCCAATAGATTGGTATCCGCAGATTTTGGTTACCATTTTGCGCTGGAAATGAAGTGAGGAACCTCATTTTGTAACGATTCTTAGGTGGCGCATGCTGAGTGCGATTTTGCTGAGTCCTGATGGAATATCCACCTCACTCTCCAGAATATTTTTGCGATAATATTCGCCATTTATTCTGATGTCAAGGTCGATTAATACGAGCGGAGAGCGACCATCGTCTGTTATGGGGGCCCGCACCATGACCATGGCCGGCGACCAAGTTATCATATAGCCCCCATATAACGGTACCTCCCGATATTCGGTATTTTGATGATTTTAGCGACATTATTTACCGGAATCGTTTCAAATTTGGTATTTGAAATTCGTAATGGGTACTACATCCTAAGTCAAAAAATTAACCATGCAGGTCCACGGCGTCATATAGCCCCCATATAACGGTACCCCCCGATATTCGGTATTTTGATGATTTTAGCGACATTATTTACCGGGATTGTTTCAAATTTCGCGTGTGAAGTTCGTAATGGATACTTCAGCCCATGCCAGAAAATTGTCTATGCAGGTCCACGTCGTCGTATTCGTATTTTTATTATTTTAACAGAATTTTTAACGGATTTTATTTTTTTTTTTTTTGGAAATTTGTACCAAATGGTGGATGGTAATAAAAGTTCGGCCCGGCCGAACTTACAGCTTTTTTACTTGTTTGTTTTTCAATGCTGCTGATGTTGTTGTCCACTTCCTTGACGTCGGGCTAAGCTACCAGTATCACGGTAACGAGCGATGGTACGAGACACAAAAGATTTATTCACATTTAAATGCTGCAGTTCTCTAACGATAGCCACTTGTGGTTTTCCAACCAAATATAAATAAATCACACTATCACGCTTGAACTCCATCACGAATAACTTTTTTCTGGAAAATTCTCACCAAAATGCTATTGTACGCTTGTAAAGAATATAATGAGCTGTCGCTGGAATAATTTTAACAGCTGTCGGACGAGTGGCTTAGAAATGACAACAGCATCTCTCCCTCTGTAAATGTAACGTCTGTTTCACTGAGTGCTTTAACGGTGGCCACACACGTCTTCATTCGTAGGGGCTCTCATCGATGACTGATTCCTACCCTCGTCGTTGTTAGTTCGTCTTGGCTTGTTTATACTTTTTCGTTCGAGTCTGTCCATAGCTGTCCTAAGTGTTAATTGTGAGAGAGGTTACTAGGGTGCATGTTAAGGTGAGGTAAGTGTACCGTGGAAATAGGGGCCTTTCAAAATGTAGCGTTTAGGATTAGACAATAGCTCCAAGGTTGGATGGGCAAAGCGGTGGGGACAAATAGACCAAGTCCCCTGCTCATGGTGCCATTTTATTTATTTTTGCCTATTTCTTTTTCCATCTCCATTGATTGTTGAGAGCTCCCTGAAGTCGGACCCCACCATTAGAGTCATATTAGGCAGTACATAACAAAGGCTCGTGTTTCCTTAAGAAGCTTAGCGTTATACCCCACTGTGTTATACATTATTTCCCATTCTAAATCTCAGAAATATATTTTTTTCCCCGGAAAAGATCAACAATTTTTCCAACGAAATCTGTCAACGTAGTAGCAGATTTTTTTTTGCTTATCAGCTATAAAGTAATCACCGAACGCATCATGCCGATCAGTTTCAAATTAAAATTCACATAAACGAGAATAACATGAAATTCTATTGCTGGGAGCTGTTGCAGCTTTGCCTAATATTGGCTGTGTTCATAATAGCCGCCTCCGTCACAACCGATCCGCCGAAAAGGGGCAGAATAACATTGAGTAGAACAAATTGTGCAACATTTCATTGTGGTTAAGGACAAGGACGACTACGAAATAAAGCTTGAATAGATAAAGAAAAACGGATTTTGTTTTTTTTTTTTTTTTTGGGATTTTTTAAGAAATAATGGATTTGAAAGAGGTGGTGGTAGAGATAAAGAGAGATTTGTGTTTTATTGCATTTTTTATTTTTATTTATGTTTTATTTTATTTTATTTTTTTATTTTACTTTTTATTTTATTTTTTTTTTATTGCATTTTTCCCAACGTTTCGTGATTTTTTTTTAGCGACTTCTTCCGGGGATTACAAGTAAAAAAGCAGTAAATTCGGCCGGGCCCTCCACCATTTGGGACGAATTAGTAAATTACAAAAAGAAATCCAATAAACATTCTTTTAAAATCTTAAAAGTACCGAATATCGGAAGGTGCCGATATATGGGGTATATACGATTGAAAAATGTGGCTAACATTAAAAAAAAATCTCTGTCAGGAGGTAAAGTCCTCATAAAGAACTCCTTCTGTACAATTTCAGACAACTCCGTTGAAAAATGTGGCTACAATCATCGAAATACCGAATATCGGGGGGTACCGTTGTGTGGGGGCAATACGATATCGTGGACCTATATAGACAATTCTCAGCTTGGGAGTAAAATGCTGATAAATAACTCCTTGTGTAGAATTTCAGACAATTCCATTGAAAAATGTGGTTAAAAAAATGTGGCCGGGCCGAACTTTGAATACCCTCCACCATTTGGAACGAATTTGAAAATTTTCAAAAAAATAAAATCCTTAAAAAAGTCTTTTAAAATTTTAAAAATACCGTATATAGCCGTGTATATACGACGTGGACCTACATAGGCATTGTCTGTCATAAGTCATTGCCATATTCAAATTCGAAACTTGAAATAAACGGTGAATAATGTAGCTAAAATCATCAAAATGTCGTATATAGGGAGGTACTGTTATATCGGGGTTGTGCGAAAACCTGGACCTGCATAGACAATTTTCGGTCACAGGCTGCGGCATCCATTACGAACTTCAAATACCACATCTAAAATAATTTCGGTGGGTATTGTGCCTAAAATCGTCAAAATACCGAATATGGAGCTACTGGTATTTGGGGCCTATACGAAGACTTGGACCTGCATAGACAATTTTCTGTCTTAGAATTTAGTATTCATTGCGAACCTCAAACACAAAATTTGAAATAATTCCGGTGAATAATGACGCTAAAATCACCAAAATACCGAATATAGGGAGGTACCGTTATTTGGGGGCTATACGAAGACCTGGACCTGCACAGACAATTTTCTGTCCTAGGCTGTAGTATTCATTTCGAACTTTAAATACCAAATTTGAAACAATTCCGGTGAATAATGTCGCTAAAATCATCAAAATACCGAATACCGGGAGTTACCTTTATATAGGGGCCATCCGAAAACGTGGACCTGCACAGACAATTTTCTGTCCTAGGCTGTAGTATTCATTTCGAACTTTAAAAACCAAATTTGAAACAATTCCAGTGAATATTGTCGCTAAAATCATCAAAATACCGAATACCGGGAGGTACCGTTTTGTGGGGGCTATACGAAGACCTGGACCTGCACAGACAATTTTCTGTCCTAGGCTGTAGTATTCATTTCGAACTTTAAATACCAAATTTGAAACAATTCCGGTGAATAGTGTCGCTAAAATCATCAAAATACCGAATACCGGGAGTTACCTTTATATAGGGGCCATCCGAAAACGTGGACCTGAACAGGCAATTTTCTGTCTTAGGCTGTAGTGTCCATTGCGAACTTCAAATACCAAATTTGAAACAATTCCGGTTAATAAAGTCGCTAAAATCATCAAAATACCGAATATCGAGGGGCACCATTATATGGGGGCTATACGAAGACGTGGACCTGCATAGACAATTTTCTGCCTTAGCCTGTAGCATTCATTACGAACCTCAAACACATAATTGGAAATAATTCCGGTGAATAATGACGCTAAAATCATCAGAATACCGAATATAGGGGGGTACCGCTATATGGGGCCTATACGAAGACGTGGACCTGCACAGACAATTTTCTGTCTTAGGCTGTAGTATCCATTGCGAACTTCAAATACTAAATTTGAAACTATTCCGGTTAATAATGTCGCTAAAATCATCAAAATACCGAATATCGGGAGGTACGATTATATGGGGACCATACCAAAACGTGGATCTGCATCACCCATTTTCAATACCAAACGTCCTGCAGACATAATACACATTTGAGTAAAATTTTATCAATCTACTTCAATTCGTTTGGAAGCTAGAGTGATTTCCACAGACGGACAGACAGACGAACATGGCTAAATCGTCTTAGAATTTGACGATGAGCAAGAACATATATACTTTGTAGGTCTGGCATGAGTATTTCGAGGAGTTACAAACGGAATGACAAACTTAATATATCCTCCATAGTATGGTGGAGGGTATAAAAATGTGATGTAAGAGTCCGAATATCTTCAAATTACCCACATCACAATATTTTTATTAACCCATGGTCCGGTGTGAAGGCGCAAAATATAGGTCCACTTCTTCTGGTGCTCCCCCACAGGAGGTCAAAATTTTGAATATTTTGTGAAGCTCATAAAACACGAAATTAACATCCGATTTCATTTAGACTTGGCACATCTGAATATTTCTATTAACACACAACCTGTTATAAAGATGGTAGCGATCGGACCATTTCTACTGGTACTTCCCCCAAGATTTCAGGATTTTATAAAAACAAAACGCGAAATAAGCATTCAACTCTCTTCAAATTTCATACACATAAATATTTTTGCTAACGCAAGATCTGTTGTCAATATGATATATATCTGCCAACACCTTCTGGTACCTCACCCTCAAAAGGTCAAATTTTTCAATACTTTCATCTGTCATAACTTGCGAAACAATTCAGCTATTCTTGACAACTTGCTATGTCACTCAAAAGAAACCTGAGATGAATACGGAATTGATCGGAATTTTTAAACCCTACATCACAAGGTGGTAGGAAACGAGATAGACCCATAGTTCCTTTTGATGATCTGCATAGAATCACATTCTGAGTCGATTTATGCATGTCCGTCCATCTGTCTGTCCATTATTTTTGTGAACAAAGTACAGTTCGCATTTATTAACCGATCCAGATGAAATTTTGCACAAATCATTTGTTTGGCCCAAGGACGAACGCTATTGAAATTGGAGATAATCGGTCAAAATTTAGATATAGCTCCCATATATATCTTCGTCCGATTTGCCTTTTATTGTGCACCAAACGTGTAATATCAGCACGAATAATATGGAATTTTCAAATTTGATCGAAATCGGATCAGATATAGCTATAGCTCCCATATATATTGTTCATCCGATTTGTTATTTTTGTCCTTCGCATCCGTAATATGCACTCTGTAACATAAATATTTGGGGAAACATATCAAATACAGCTCAGAAATACCTTTTCTAAATTTTATCGAGATCGGTTCGGATTTGGATATATCTCCCATATATAACTTCGTCCGATTTGCCTTTTATTGTGCACTAAACGTCTAATATTTGCCCAAATAGGATGAAATTTGGCACTTACGACCGAATTGAGTCTAGAAGCTAGTATGTCAAATTTGGTGAAGATCGGTTCAGATATAGCTATAGCTCCCATATATACTGTTCATCCGATTTGTTATTATTGTCCTCCGCAGCCGTAATATGCAGTCTGTAACAACAATATTTGGGGAAATAACTCAAATACAGCTCAGAAATATCTTTGCCAAATTTCATATTCTTTCATATTCGGTTCATATTTGGATATAGCTCCCATATATAACTTCGTCCGATTTACCTTTTATTCTGCACCAAACGTCTAATATTTGTCCAAATGGGATGAAATTTGGCACATACGACCGAATTGAGTCTAGAAGGTAATGTGCCAAATTTGATGAAGATCGGTTCAGATATAGCTATAGCTCCCATATATACTGTTCATACGATTTGTTATAATTGTTACCCACAGCCGTAATATGTACTCCGTAACAACGATATTCAACTACAGTTGATTGTCGTTGTTACAGGGCTCTAGGTCTGTTTAGGTTTAGCAATGAATCGTACAAATCTAAAATGTAAACATCCGTTATCAATCGATCAAATTCAGTCATCTATCAGCCTCTCAACGCTGCACAACTGAACGATCAACCGGCATAACATATCACGTGGAAAAGGAAAATTTTTATTTTATTAAAATTAATTGCAATAGTGGCGGTGTTATCGTTCATACCACCACCTACCCCGCCGAGAAATGTCAAGGAACGAATTACATCGACCAGATATAATTGTAACAGTTATAGATGTGGTTAATTAATTGTAAACACAATGAATAAGTGAATAAAATAATTATGTAAATAAAGAACCAGTAAAAAAAAGTCTTAAAGTCGGGCGGGGCCGACTTTATGATACCCTACACCACTTTGCTAATTTAGTGGAGCTCCGCATAACAATTAAAAGTTTTTATGGGAGAATTCAAACATACCGGCTATGATTATAATTATAATTTTAAGTTCAAAAGACTAAATATGCCGAAGCATTTGTGTCTTTTAAATTCGGACTTGTATTGCCCATTTGATATATATGGAAGCTAAATCCAAATCTGAACCGATCTTGATAAAATTTGGCAAAGATAGAGCTGAGCTATATTTCATATATTTCCCTGAATATCGTTGTTACGGAGTGCATATTACGGCTGTGGGTAACAAATATAACAAATCGGATGAACAGTATATATGGGAGCTATAGCTATATCTGAACCGATCTTCAGCAAATTTGACATACTAGCTTCTAGACTCAATTCGGTCGTAAGTACCAAATTTCATCCCATTTGGACAAATATTAGACGTTTGGTGTACAATAAAAGGTAAATCGGACGAAGTTATATATGGGAGATATATCCAAAACCGAACCGATCTCGATAAAATTTAGCAAAGGTATTTCCGAGCTGTGTTTGATATATTTCCCCAAACATTGTTGTTACAGAGTGCATATTACGGCTGTGGAGGACTAAAATAAGAAATCGGATGAACTATATATATTGGAGCTATAGCTATATCTGAACCGATTTCGATCAAATTTGGTATACTTATTTTCTGGCCTCATTTGGTTGTATGTGCATAATTCCATACTATTCGGGCTGATATTACACGTTTGGTGCACAGTAAAAGGCAAATCGGACGAAGATATATATGAGAGCTATATCTAAATTTTGACCGATTATCTACAATTTCAATAGGGTTCGTCCTTGGGCCAAACAAATGATTTGGGCAAAATTTTATCTGGATCGGGTTATAAATGCGAACTGTACTTTGTTCACAAAAATGCTTGGACAAACGGACGGGCATGCATAAATCGACTCAGAATGTGATTCTATGCAGATGATCAAAAGGAACTATGTGTCTATCTCGTTTCCTTTTGCCTGTTACAAACAAATGCACAAAGACATAATATCCTGACCACCTTGTGGTGTAGGGTATAAAAATGTGCTGTCGTTTGTATTCAATCCTTATTTTAGAATTGGGAGCTCCTTAAGATATGCTACAAAAAAAGTGAAATATTCAAGTTGAACAAAGTACTTTACATGTGACTCTAACATAAAGTGTAATCAGGCCTTAGAGATCTCTATTTCCATTAGGAGGCCATTGGAGGCATTTATTTTCAGTAGAAGACGTTTCAGGGATTTAAATGTCTTCTACGGCCAATAGAAGGTCGCCAAGAGTACTTATCTTTAATATATGGCCTGCAAGGTCGCCTGATGCTAATGAAAGCATAAGAGCCTTCCATTTTTTATTATCAAAAGTACTTATGGGAATCTATTTCCAATAAAAGGTCTGAGTCCGCTGTAAATGCTCTAAAAAATGTTGGGAGCTCCTTTAGATATGCTACAAAAAAGGAGAAATATTCAAGTTGAACAAAGTACTTTGCATGTGACTCTAACATAAAGTGTAATCGGGCCTTAGAGGTCTCTAACTTTATTAGGAGGCCATTGGAGACATGTATTTTCAGTAGAAGACGTTTAAGGAATGGCCTCCAAAGTCGCCTGTTGCTAAGGGTCTTCAATTTGCATAGAATGTCCTCATGGGTTTCTATTTTCAATAAAAAAACTTTCGGCCGCGTTTTTCAGTCGTTACAGGCTTGCTCTGTAGAAGAAGATAATGTTAATATCTCCTTTTGGCTACAGAAAACTTAAATATTTTCCATTGGTACCAGAGGTTGCTTAAAGTTTTCTATTGCAAATATAGGCTCCTGAATGACATCTCTTAAATATTGAGGTCTTCAAAAATCGTCGGAGGAAAATTTGAGCCCTTGAAGACATTCTGTTGAAAATTGAAGCCTTTTTAAGTCCTTGTGTTGAAAAATTGCTTCTTATCAGGCCTTCTCTCTTTTACTAGTTTTGTCTTAAATTATGAAATTTGCTTTCATTTCCATTAGAAGAATATAATTCAAAGGCTTATTTTCTCGAAAGACGGCCTTAACAGGGCTCCTATTACCAGTAGTCTGTCTTTAAGGACGTCTATTTTTAATAGAACCTTCCTACTGGCCAGTGTTTTTAATTGAACGTCCCTAGGGGCCCAAAGTTTGTAATACAACATCTCCTGGGTTTCAGTGGCCAATAGAGGGCTTCTATTTTCAATAAAAGGTTTTCACTACATCCTCTTTTCAAAGGTCTTATAAGGCTTCTATTTTCAACACTTATATTTTTTTACTACAAGACCTTTGAGTTTTCTTCATTTTTAATGAAACTAATTCAAGTGCTCCTATTTTCAACAGAAACCCTCAAGGTCTTTAACTTTAAGTTGAAGGGTCTGTTGGGATTATTCCTCAACATTACTAAGGCTGACCACCATGGATACACACTCCCTGATCAGGTATTCTGCCATCAAGAAAATTCCCTTTGCAACGATTTTAACTTGCCGTCTCTGGCTCTAGCAGACCTTTTTCTCTGTTGTTTATATTATTTCGAGGTACAAGGATTACTAAACTTCTTACCCGTTTGACATCCAAGACTGCAGTATAACTTTACTGATAGGACAATGAGATTTCTTCCAATTGCTTAGAAAAACTTGCTCTACGAACGATATTCTCCAACATATAAATGACACCGACAATATTTGACACCAACAGCATATACTGCCTCCACTTATAAATCGCATATTCCTCACGAATAAAAATCCAACGATCAGCAATGTTATTCCACGAGTAATATTGTTTTTTTGTTTAATTATCCTCCACTTGCTCATGTATACAGGGTGAGATGAAAAAAGTGCAACAAAGCCAAACGCCATATTTTTCACATTTTTTTTTTAATTTTTTGAATGATAGCCAAAAATGTCGGAAATAGCATGAAATTTTTAAATAAGTTTAGATTTGTTCGAATTGGCCACCTTTGGCACGAACTATTGCCTTCAGACGGCCAATGAAACCGTCAGACGCTACCCGATGATTTCTCTGCGATATTTTGGGCAATTCCCGGCGAAGCGCTTGCTTGACGTAATTTGATATTTTTTTTGATATTTTTTTTTAGTCCTAACCTTGTTTTCTAAAATACTCCAGACACAATAGTCCAACGGATTGGTATCCGGAGATTTTGGTGGCCATTGTGCGCTGGAAATGAAGCGAGGAACCTCATTTTGTAACCATTCTTGGGTGGCGCGTGCTGGGTGCGATGGTGCTGAAGCCTGTTGGAATGTCTAAGGTCTGCAGCCAAAATGTTTGCTTGTCCAAGGCTTTAATACACTCTCTAGAATATTTTCCCGATAATATTCGCTATTTATTCTGATGCCGCGGTTGATTAATACGAACGGAGAGCAACCATTGCCTTTTATGGTGGCCCACACAATCACCATGGCCGGCGCTTGAATTCTGGAGGCCAACCGAAGGTGCACATTTTCAGCTGACCTCTTTCGCAAGTAAACACGAACATTTTTTTGTTTACAAACTGCTGGACAACGAATGTTTTCTCATCGAAGACGGAGAAAACCAAATTCGGCAGTTCACCACTTTCGGCCAAACGAAGCAACTCTTTAGCACTTTTGAGTCTATTTTCTTAGAGTTGCGGTGTAAGCTCCTGCCCTTTTTGGAATTTCAAAGGCTTCACCCCAAACTCCTTTTTCAATATTTGCCGAATAGAATATTACGATATGTTCAGCTCACGAGCCATTTTTCGGTCACTGCGACGCGGGTTTCGATTATATCGCTTCTTTACTTTTCGAACCATTTCTGCTGATGTTGCTGTTTTCTTCTTCGGCCCACTCCTTGACGTCGCCGGGCTACGCTACCAGTATCACGGTAACGAGCGATGGTATGAACACACCAAAGATTTATTCACAGTTAAATGCTGGAGTGCTCTAATGATAGCCACTTTTGGTTTATTAGAAAATCACACTTTCACGCTTGATATCCATCACGAATAACTTTTTTTCTGGAAAATTCTCACCAAAATGCTTTTGTACGCTTGTAAACAATATAATGAGCTGTCACTGGAATAATTTTAACAGCTGTCGGACAATTGGCTTAGAAATGACAGCAGTCTGAAGTTGGTTGCAGTTTTTTTCATGTTATGTCTAAAATGATTATTTTGATGAGTTACAAACGGAATGACGAACTTAATACACCCTCCACACTATATATGGTAGAGGGTATAAATACGGCACTCGTGAACCACTCTACCAACCCAACTCACAATCCAGACTTTGAGTATGTGAAAGTATCAAAGAGTGAAGCACATCTCAGCAAACGGTACACAATGGCCATGATGTGCCATTCTCAATGTGCCAGTCAAGTAGTTACGAAATATCGAGAGAATTGAAGAAAATATTTATAATAATCTGACCTCGAGCTCAAAGAATTATTCAATTAATTAACACCTTTTTCCTTGCACTGGCGCTTCTTCTAGTTACAATTCTGGTTTGCCCTCTCATGTTCTATTTCTTTTAAAATTCATAACTCTCTTTCTCTCTCTCTCACTGCTGTGTGATTGTTACTTTGCTTGCTCTAATCATAGGTATACTAGTGGCAACGGTATTGCCAATGTTTCTACAATTAGCATAACAAGAGAAAGAGAGTAACTATGGGAGAAGAATAATAAGGAACAGAGTTTATGTGGGGTATGTTCAGTGAAATTTAATGTAGTGTTTCTCACATAATCACGGTATTTTTGCAGAAGTATTTAAAAGACTTCAATTTTAGGGGCTAGCAGTCCGCTCGCCATTACAATTTAATACCCATCCAAATGTATGCCAATAGGAAAAAATGAAATAACAGTGGTTTATAGCATGCCTCTCTCTTTTTTAAAGCAAAATTTTATTCTGTGAAGTGTTTTTGAAAGTGCAAGTTGTGAATATTGAAAAAAAGTTAATAAAATAAATTAATAAAATAAGAATATAGTAAGTGTTGTGTGTTAGAAAAGTTAAATAAAATGTCAGGATTCAGTAGGAGAAATTTAAGACGATTAAAGAAAGTGGAAGCAGACAAGTTAAAAAGAAATGCACAGTTGAGGACGGTCTATTTGGAAAACAATGATATTGTACTAAATTAGCAAATTCCATGCATTCCAAAATTGTAGAAGATTTTGGAAAATATGTAAGAATATTAAAAACTCTCCGTTATAATCCATTAATAATTTAATTTCTTTCAGGTCAGTATCTTAAAAATTATAATTTCACCAGATGGCCTTATTAAAAACTTCTGCAAGATTATTGACATTTCTATAATATTATCTTACAACTATGATGGTACCCAAAATAAAAAGTCGTTTAAGGAATATAAACTTTTAAACATGGCCATTTTCGGTAAGTTCAATTATTCTTACATATTTATTGAATAGTGATATTATATTACCTTAAAATGTAGTCCATTAGTCTATTCTATAGTATAACTGTTTAAAATTAAAAAAATTGTTCTATATTTTCTATCCTTATTTCAGAAGCTGTCATATGTGAAGGATTCAATGAACAGGATTACGCCAAAAAAATAGAAATTGTTTCAAATTCCCTAAGGCCAGACACTTCCGAACCATGTTCTACAATAAAAAAACTAGAAAAAATTATTATTTTTATACCCTACACCACATAGTGGTAAGGGTATTATGTCTTTGTGCATTTGTTTGTAACATAGAGAAGGAAACGAGATAGACCCATAGTTACTTTTGAGAACCTTCATAGAATCACTTTCTGAGTCGATTTATGCATGTCAGTCCGTCTGTCCGTCCGTCTGTCCATGTATTCTTGTGAACAAAATGCAGGTCGCATTTATTATCCGATTGAGATGAAATTTTCCAAACAATATTTTTTTGGCCCAAGGACGAACCCTATTGAAATTGGTGAGAATCGGATCAAATTTAGATATAGCTCCCATATATATCTTCATCCGATTTCGGGTTAAATGTGCACCAAATGTCCACTATCAGTCCAAATTACTTGAATTTTGGCACACCCAACCGAGTTCGGCCTAGAAGCAAGTATATAAAAATCGGTTCAGATATAGCTATAGCTCCCATATATATCTTTCATCCGATTTGATCTTTAAGTCCCTCACATTCCAACTATGCACTCCACAACCGTGATATTTGGTACCAGGTATTAGATGGAGCACAGAAATACCTGTTTTAAATTTTATCGAAATCGGTTCAGATTTGGATATAGCTTCCATATATATCTTCATCCGATTTCGGGTTAATTGGCCACCAAATGGCCAATATCAGCCCAAATGGCCCGAATTTTGCCACATGTGACCGAGATTAGCCTTAAAGCAAATACAACAAATTTGGAGAAAATCGGTTCAGAAACAGCTATACCTCCCATATATATATTTTATCCGATTTGGTGTTTAAGCCTCTCACATTCGTAATATGCACTCCACAAGAATGATATTTGGTACCAGATAAAAGATACAGCCCAGAAATAGCTGTTTGTAATTTTATCGAAATCGGTTCAGATTTGGATATAGCTCCCATATATATCTTCATCCGATTTCGGGTTAATTGTGCACCAAATGGCCGAATTCAGTCTAGAAGCTAATACGTCAAATTTGGAGAAACCCGGTTCAGAGATAGCTATAGTTCGTAAAATGCACAATAGAATTAGATAGATTTTGATTTTATACCAAATATCTCATAGAGCTCTGAAATGCCCTGTATAAACCTTTTTACGAGAGCTCTACTAAATATGCATAGTGGTGTAGGGTATCATATAGTCGGCCCCGCCCGACTTTTGAGTTTTCCTTACTGGTTTTTTCCTTTAGTTTAAGCTTTGTTTTTTCCCACGTCTTTTGAATAAGTTTTATGAATTTCTTTTCTATGCATTATTTCTAATTATAATAAGAATATTTTATTGTTGAAAACACTGTTCTTTAATACGAATATTTTAATAAAAAACAGCTGAAATTTAAGTTCCACAATCTAAAATGTTGATGGAATCGGACCCATCCAACCTACGCTTACAATGTTGATAGATTTCGGACCCATCCAACATTCGCTTACGTTGTCGGTCGATTTCGGACCCATCCAACATTCGCTTACATTGTCGGTAGATTTCGGACTCGTCTGACGGCCTAGGCCATCTCTGTGTAAATGTAAGTAGAAATTGTATACAGGCTTTTGATGAATCGCACCTACATTGTCATTGGTCTCAGATGGAAGATGTATGTGCTAAAAAATCCGCTGGGAATGGGAGGAGAATAATAAGGAACAGAGTTTATGTGGGGTATGTTCAGTAAAATTGACTGTAGGGTTTCTCACATAAACACGGTCAAAAAGGCGAAGTATTTAAAAGTATTCTATCGACAATAGAGCACTTTTAAAGACTTCCACCTTAGGTAGATGACTTCTATTAAAAAAGAGTCATATTTTTAATAGAGCGACTGCAAGGGCATTTTAGCTTAAAGAAAATCCTTCGAATTATCGTCCAATGATACATTTGATTTTATTGAACAATATATATATTTCAAAATTACATTTCTTATTTATTACCACAAAATATCACTTACATGTTTTATCTACAAAATTATATAACACATTTCAATAAGACCTTACATACTACTTAACCTAATTTTCACAGGATTTTAATTACCAACACCTTTTCACTGCTATGCACCACATTTAAATTTTCCACAATTCGATGAGACTTGCAGATGAGTTGTGGGGTCCTCAGTGTTTTTAAAAAGCCATTCCAAAATTGTTCCCTCAAATAGGGCAATAACAACGAATGGAATTATGGCACATATTTTTGCCAAATACAGTTCCATGCTGCCGCTGTTGCTTGTTTTTTTGTGAAGCGCTGAAAATTCTGTGGTGTTGTTCGCCAATCTCAAATCAATTGATAACTGAAAATTGAAAAATTATTTCACAATACCTTCCCCGATGGATGGGAGATTAGAAAAAAACAAAAAAAAAACAAAAAAAAAACAACTGATGATGTGTCATAGAAATTGATGCGCCATTGTTTAGCTGATAATCATGGGAAGGAAGTGGGAATACATTAAATCATGTGTAAAGAGAAGGGAAAACTGATTATTATAAAACCGGAGAATACAGGGTGAGATAAAACTGTCTGTGTGTCTGTTGTAATCATGCTATCTTTCGAACGAATTGAGATAGAAGGCTAAAATTTTGCACACATGTTTATTTTTCCAGTAAGCAGGTTAAGTTCGTAAATAGGCCATATAGGTCCACGTTTTCATGTAGCCCCATATAACGGTACCTGCCGATATTCGGTATTTTGATGATTTTAATGACATTATTCACCGGAATTGTTTTAAATTTGGTATTTGAAGTTCGAAATGGATACCACATCCTAAGACAGAAATTGTTTGTGCAGGTCCACGTCTTCGTATAGCCTCCATATAACGATACCTCTCAATATTCAGTATTTTGATGATTTTAGCGTTATTATTCACCAGAATTGTTTCAAACTACGTATTTAGAGTTCGTTATCGGAACTACAGTCTGTAACAGAAAATTGTCTATGCAGCTCCAGGCCCTCGTATAGGCCCCATATATCAGTACCTCCCTATATTCGGTATTTTGACGATTTTAGGTACAATACCCACCGAAATTGTTTGAGATGTGGTATTTGAAGTTCTTAATGTATGCTACAGCCTGTGACAGAAAATTGTCTAAGCCGGTCCAGGTCTTCGCACAGTTCCAATATAACGGTAACTTCCATATATGATATTTTGATGATTTTAGCTACATTATTTACCGTTTATTTCAAGTTTCGAATTTGAATATGGTAATGGCTTATGACAAACAATGCCAATGTAGGCCCACGTCGTATAGACCCCAATAAAATGGTATTTTTTGGTATTTTTAAATTTTTAACAGGATGTTTTGAGGATTTTATTTTTTGAAAATTTCCAAATTCATTCCAAATGGTGAAGGGTATTAAAAGTTCGGACCGGACGAACTTACTGTTTTTTAACTTGTTAATTTTTTTAATTTTATTATATGATAACCAAAAATGTCGGAAATAGCATCAAATTTTAGAATAAGTTTAGATTTGTTCGAATTGGTCACCTTTGGCACGAATTATGGTCTTCAGACGGCCAAAGAAACCGTCACACGCTGCTCGAATGTTGCTCTGCAGTCTTTTGACCCATTCTCGGCGAAGCACTTGCTTGAGGTGATTGACACTTTGGTATTTTTTAGTGTCAACCTTGCTTTCCAAAATACTCCCGGCACAATAGTCCAACGGATTGGTATCCGGAGATTTTGGTGGCCATTGTGCGCTGGAAATGAAGCGAGGAACCTCATTTTCTAACCATTCTTGGGTGACACCGTGCTGAGTCCTGTTAGAATGTCCAAGGTTTGCGGCCAAAAAGTTTGCGTGCCCAAGGCTTTAATACGCCCTCCAGAATATTTTCACAATAATATTCGGCATTTATTCTGATGCCACGGTCGATTAATACGCGCGGAGAGCGATCGTCGGCTGTTATGGCGGCCCACACTATCACCATGGCCGGCTCTTAAGTTCTGGTGGCCAATCGAAGGTGCACATTTTCAGCTGACCTCTTTGGCAAGTAAACACGATCAGTTTGTTTGTTTACTAACTGCTGGACAACGAATGTTTTCTCACCGCAGACGGAGAAAACCAAATTTGGCAGTTCACTACCTTCGGCCAAGATCTTTTGAGTCTATCTTTCTTTCTGTTGCGGTGTAAGTACTTGCACTTTTGAATCTCAATGGCTTTACCCCGAGTTCATTTTTCAATATTTGTCAAATGGAATATTGCGACATGTTCAGCTCACGAGCCATTTTTCGGTCACTGTGACGCAGGTTTCGAACAAGTCGCTTCTTTACTTTTTGAACCATTTCTGCTGATGTTGCTGTTTTCTTCCGTCGACTTCCTTGGCGTCGGGCTACGCTACCAGTATCACGGTAACGAGCGATGGTACAAGACACAAAAGATTAATTCACATTTAAATACTGGAGTGCCCGAACGATAGCCACTTGTGGTTTTCCACCCAAATATAAAGAAATCCCACTATAACGCTTGAATTCCATCACGAATAACTTTTTTTCTGGAAAATTCTCACCAAAATGCTTTTGTACGCTTGTAAAGAATATAATGAGCTGTCGCTGGATTAATTTTAACGGCTGTCGGACGAGTGGCTTAGAAATGACAGCAATCTGAATTTGGTTGCAATTTTTTCATCTCACCCTGTATATCCTTACATTTGATGTATATTATATCTTTGGTAATATTACTGATTGCTGTAATTCGATTAGATTCTGCTATAGGTCCCAGAATACATCAACGCTCTAAATCTGGAAAACCCCTTGCTGTGAAATATTTTCCAATTTTATAATTACAGATTGTTTTGTTTACACTTTGATTTCGTCGTATTTAAACTGAGACGTGCATTTACACTTTCAGCTGTTCGAAAACTTATTTACATACACACTATTAGGTGTGTGTGTGTGTATACGGTTGGCAATGCCTTATCAATGGCGAAATGTGAGGCTGCTGAACTTAGTTCGAGGAAAATCCAAAACAAATTGTTCCATGAGAAAGTGGAATGAGACCTGGCTTTGAAAATTATAATCTCAAACCGAATATAGCCAATATATTGGAGTCTATACGAAGACGTGGACCTGCATAGGCAACTTTTGTCATAAGCCATTACCTGGGCTTGCACAGACAATTTTCTGTCATAGGCTGTAGTAGAATTTCAAAAAATAGTTAACTGGCTTTAATCCTAACATTTGCTTTTTATACCTTCCACCTTGAAAGGGAGGATATATAATAACTTTTTCATTTCGTTTGTAACATCGCTAAATATCCGTCGTAGACCCCATAAAGTATATATATTCATGATCACCATAAAATTCTAAGTCAATTTAAAAATGTTCATCTGTCTGTTCGTCTGTCTGTCTGTCTGTTGAAATCACGATACAGGCCACATTATTTGATGTAGGGCTTCAAATTTGGCAGAACAATTTGTATTGTGTCTAGGATGGTTGGTATTGAAAATGAGATATATCGGTCCACGTTTTCGTATGGCCGCCATATAACGGTACCTCCCGATATATATTTTGATGATTTTCGTCACATTTTTCCACGAATCCTTCTAAAAAGTGGAATGTGTAGGTCATAGTGGGATTTAGCTCCAGTGGCGGAAGATTGTACATATAGGTCCACGTTTTCGTATAGTCCCATATGACGGTACCTTCCGATATAATGTATTTTGATGATTTTCGCCTCATTTTTCTACGGATTTGGCTAAACATTGGTATTTGTAGTGCCTAACCGGTTCTAGCTCCTGTGGCGGAACATTGTATGTATAGGTCCACGTTTTCGTATGACCGCCTATAACGGTACCTCCCGATATTCGTTATTTCGATGATTTTTGTCACATTTTTCCACGAATCCTTCTTAAAAGTGGAATGTGTAGGCCATAATGCTCCAGTGGCGGAATATTGTATGTATAGGCCCTCGTTTTCGCGTTGCCCCCATATAACGGTACCTTCCGATATTCGTTTTTTTTGACGATTTTTGCCACTTTTTTCCACGAATTTGTCTAAAAATTGTTATTTGCAGAGCTTAGGTTCTAGCTTCTGTGGCGGAACATTGTATGAATAGGTCAATATTTTTGTATAGCCCCCATATAAAGGTATCTCCCGATATTCGATATTTCGATGATTTTAGTCACATTTTTCCACGGATTTATCAAAAAAATTGTTATATGTAGGACATAATGGGTTCCAGTTCCAGTGGCAGAACATTGAATATATAAATCCATGTGCTCCTATAGCCGCCAAATAATGGTACCCACTGACATTCGGTGTTTTGATAATCCTTGTCACATATAACCACGGAATTTATTCAAATTCGTACACGGGCCATGTCGATCCACGTCTTCGTATAGCCCCCATATAACGGTACCCCCCGATATTCGGTATTATTATGATTTTAGCGACATTATTTACCGGAATTGTTTCAAACTTGGTATTTGAAGTTCGTAATAGAAACTACAGCCTAAGACAGAAAATGGGTCACGTAGGTCCACGTCTTCGTTTGGCCTCCATATAACGGTACCCCCTCCCCCATATTCGGTATTTTTATGACTTCAGAAACATTATTAACCAGAATCGCTTCAAATTTAGTATTGGAAGATCTTAATGGGTACTACAAGCTATACCAACAAATTTCGTATACAGGTCCACGTCTTCGTATAGCCCCCATATAACGGTACCCCCCGATATTCGGTATTTTGACGATTTTAGCGACATTATT